GTAGTCTTTATAATCCAATAGAGTCCCCAACACAGATAAGCAGCCCAAGAGGTTTTTTTTCCCTTCTCCCAGCTGCAGTATGCAAAAGTGAAAGTTTTGAGGAACAAAGCTTCTTATCTAAGTCTGGGCTTCAAGCCAAGTTTCCTTTAAGCCAGTGGTTCTCAACCTGTGGGTCGGGACCCCATTTAGGGTCAAACAACCATTTCACAGGGGTCGCCAAACAAGGCTGTCCGCCATTTTCCCCCCCTTTTCTTTGGCCACGCCCCTGGCACCCGGTGATGTATAAGTGGTTGGGGGTCACCACAACGTGGGGAACTGTATTATGGGGTCGCGGCATTAGAAAGGTTGAGAACCACTGCTTTAAGCATAATAAATTGTAGTGCCATGATTCGCCACTAGATGCTTTTAACACCGTCTTTCAGCTTTCCAAATCCAAGCCTATTTTACAGACTTTTAAATATATTTTCTAATAAAATGCTTCCAGGGTACTTTTAGTCCCAAATTTCAAAGCTATATATCTGTATTAATTCCAAATTCCAAGTTTTCTCTATTTTCCCCCACAGCAATTAATTCGCCGCTTTTCTTTTCCTGAAGGAGCAGGGCAAAAACTTCCCTTCCCTCTCTCATTGGGGAGGATACTTTGCTTTGGGCATTCTTTTTTCCAGGAAAAAGGTCATAAAAAGAGGATAAAGTCTCATCCAGTTCCATCCCCGTTGCTCAAAAATTGTTTGTTAGTGCTTATCTTCGGTTGTCAGCAGCTTCTGACTGGCCACACAAATGTAGCCAGTCTTTCCCCCGCCAGTTTGGAAGGCTTTCTTGGATCCAGCGGAAGGGCCTCCGCAATCAATGAGGGTCCCTTTTTGACTTGCGACCCTTTTTAGGTTCCCCAGCGGGGCGAAATCAAATGTGGAAGATGGAGTCCCATCTTCCTATGTCCATTCTGCCATGGCGCCTAACTGGAAGCCCCTATATTACACTAGTTTTGCCAGATATCATCTCTCCACAGATCATTTGGTGTCAGATTAAGCATATAGAATTCAAAATAGATTGTTAGTTTTACTGTCTTTTCCTCAGGCCCAATCATGCAGAACAACCAGTCAGAGCTCTTCTCTTAATAGGGGGAGTTCAGGATGAGGAAACTAGTGAATATCCCAGTGTTTATATAAATCAACTAGTGTTTATATTTTTCATTCTATTTTCTTAGGGTGTTAGCATGTTATGTAAATGAATGATTTGATCACCAGGCAACTTCCTAATCATCTTAGATTTTAGTAAAATAGATAAACCAGGGGTCCCCAACCCCCGGTCTATGGACTAGTACCGGGCCGCACAAATAAGCAAAAGGCCCATCCGTGGGGGGCAGGCAGCACACAAAACGATGCACCCTCTCCACGGAAAAACCTCTCTCCATGGAACCGGTCCCCGGTACCCAAAAGGTTGGGGACCTCTGAGCTAAACCACCATATACAGCTTGTACTGAACATAATGGGTGACTGTCTATATTTGTTTCCCCTTCTGAGATAAGAGTAAGCTGAAGGGATTTTTATTACTACAGAAGTGGCCTTGCCCCTGGGACGGATCACTGAATAATTTCTTTTTTTTTAATTCCTATTAACTATTTGCAAGGACCACAGATTGACTGATGATGTTCTCAGAATTCTGTGATTGCCATCAGTAAAGGCAAATTGCCTGGATAGCTTCAGAAAGGTTTGGATGGATCTGGAAATAGAAACAATGATGTGCGGAAGTACTTCAATGTCCATAAAACACCATCTTAACCAAATGCCACATGCTTTGCTCTAACACAGTGTTTCTCAACCTTGACAATTTTAAGGCATGTGGACTTCAACTCCCAGAATTCCACAGTCAGCATTGCTGGCTGTAGAATTTTGGGAGTTGAAGTCCACATGCCTTAAAATTGTCAAGGTTGAGAAACACTGCTCTAACGGAAAAAATTGGGAGTGAGCCCCTTTTCTTTTAAATGTGCCAAACTAGTACCTCTTTGAAGCAGATGTTAATGACCTTATTTATATAGAATGTCAATAAATATATATTCCAGCTCTTTGGCCAGTACTGTAGTAGAAAACTGATTTAGGTAAGAATGTCTTGTTAAATATAAAAATGTCCACACCAAAATATGAAGAGTAGCAATTCTGAACAATAAGAATATTTCTTTGAAAATTAAAGCTTGTCAGTCCATATATAATCACAAACTAATTTTCAGATGAAACAAATACATTTACTAACATTTATTATTTAGAAAATATTTAAGTCACTAATTTAACAATTGTATATATGTTTATCAGGAAGTCACAGTTTAGTATGAATAATTTATTTGTAAGAAAGCTAAAGATCACAGCCTAGAACTTTGCAAGATATGAAGATAAACAGGTTTTATGTATTTATTTGATTCCAATTCTACTTTTCATTTCAGAGTAAAAGGTAATTCACATTTTCCCCACAAGAAATTTGTATGGTAGGTTGGATTGAGACTAATTGACCCCATGTCACACAGTAAGTTTAAATGAGAAAACCTGGATATCCCCATTGCTAATCTAAGCATAGAAGTGTACTTCTATCTATGGCATACTTAAACATGGGGAAAATTAAACTTTTATTAACCAGGGCTTTTTTTTTGTCATAGAACACCCAGAACAGAGTTCCGGTACCTTTTTTGGATGGAACCTTGTAGGGTAGGCAAGGCGGGTTGTATGACACGTGTGAGTTCCTGCACCTTTTTTTTTTTTTTTTACAAAAAAAGCACTGTTATTAACAATACATAAAAGACAACAAAGAGGGCAAAACAGAAATAAATTGAAGAGAACCTGCAAGTAAGTTTCTAAAGGGCAATAAAATAAAATACTGCAATTTAAAATTAGGATGAAAATGACCAACAATTGAATTATATTGCTGAAATAAAAAGCTGTATGCAGTCTAGAAAGATTGAACTATTAAATATAGTAGTAAAACAAAATATTTTAAATGTTGTAAAACTTGTTTTACATTTAAAGAAATACCCGAGGAGAATATTGTACAAATACATAAGGTCACATGCATATATTTCTAAACATAAATCAATTGATCAATGACATTCAAAATATGTACATTAAATTTCAAAAGTAACTCAGATTATCACTTATCTGGAATTTAAAATTGGCTGTTTTATGGTAGCTTTCTTGTGATGAGGTAATATGCACATTGCAGTTTTAAAAAGTACCATGAATGTATTTCCAGTGAATTTTGTGCACCAACTGAGGGTCCATTAAGCCTTTTTGTTAACACCTTTTTAAATTGTTAGAAATAAAAAAAAGTACAAAAAGTTTTTTTATTGATATTATTTTTCAAAGATCACAAGAAATCTTGGTATTTTATTATAATACACAGGTATTGGTTTATAACCCATTCTTTTACTGACCTTTTCAAATTAAACAGCATTGAAAAAAGTGACTTATGGCCAAACCTCATACTTATAACCGACAGAGCATGCCCATGGCAAGTGATCAAAATTCAGGTATTTGGCAACTGGCATCTATTTATGATGGCTGCAGAGTCCTGGGCTTATCTGATCATCATTTGTGACCTTCCCATCTGGCTTCTGACAAGCAAAGTCAACGGATGAACCCAGATTCACTTAATGACCATGATGATTCCCTTAATAACTGCAGCAAAAGAGGTGGTAAAATTGAATGACTCACTTAACGACCATTTTTCTTAGTGATGGAAGTTTTGGTCCCAATAATCATCATGAGCACTATTTGTAATCCTGAAATACAGATACTAGTATATAGAACAAACTGTGAGACACTATAGGATTGTTTTCAAGTAAGGATAATGATATTTTAAAAATATATATTTTGTGGAGAAACCAAGAGACTTTGATGTAGAGACATGATTGTAGCAACATTTATTCCTCAAACAGGCATCAAACACGGAAAAATGCCTTTAAAAATTAATCTCAGGTAGTTTAAAACAAACAAACAAGCCCTTTGTACATCAGCCTTGTTCATCTGTCACAGAAGCCAATCATACTGCAGGAGATTGTGGAGTCAGTCAGGTAGCTAGGACTGTTTGCACTGGATCCATTTCCTCAAGCTGGGAAATGAGTCACTCAACATTTATGATGATTAGTAATGAAGCAGTTTCTCACCATTGCTGATAAAAATTGCTTTTGACTTTTTAAAAAAAGGAATGATATATAATTTCTTGAAATTAAATAAGCTTCTTCCTTGGAATCCTATAGAGTTCTATATTCTTTAGAGATCTCAGAATTCCCAGTACAGTACATACTTTGCAATGAAAAACAACTTTCTCCAGATGCACCAATTGAGAATCATGGGAATTATAATCCAAAATATATGGAGTAAGCCTCAAGCACACGTTTTCTGACGGGGAGCTCAGCTGCTTCCAGGTCTATCTGAATCTGATTTGAGTATAATGATTTTGTATACTTTATTCCCAATAGAGGCAGCTAGCAAACAAAGTGCAATCTTGGATCCATTTCAACCCCCGCACAATTCTGAATTTACAGTTAATGATATCTGGTTAACCATTATGAAAACCCCTGTAATTTAGTACAATTATTCACAGCTTCGTTTGCGGAGTTCATATCAAGGTCACATGTCAGGAGCAGCTGCCAGCGCCCGCAGGAGCAACGTAACACGCAAGGCGCCCCCTGGACTTGCTGCAAGCGGCTGCGCCTTCTGGACAACCCCGCGCCCGCCAAGATGGCCGCCCATCCAGCCCTCTGGACTTTGTAGTTCTAAATGTGCGAATTTAAGTCACGCGAATGCGCGTGGCTAGAGCTTCCAGCCCTGGGGGAGGAATCACTTATTTATAAGTAATTTAAATAAACGAAACATATTCCGGCAGTATAGGAGGCAAACCCCTTTCCGTTCCGTGAAGGCGCCGCCTCGCACAAAAACGAGAGAAGTCCCTCTGACTGCTACCTTATGCCCCGCCCAGCGACGGCGGCAAGCCCCGCCTGTTTCCCCACACGGGGCTTAGCTCCTCCCCCTTCCCCTCTCCCCGCTCGCAACCTTTCTCTCTCGCTCTCTGTGGCTGAGCGTCCGGCTCAGCCCCCGAGACTGGCCAGGAGAGCGAAGCTCGGGGCGAGAGTCTGTGCAGAAGAAGCCGAGGGAGGACAAAGGCGGGAGGGCGGCCGCGGCGGCTGCACTCCCTTCAAGCACCCTCGAGATGTTCTCGCGGAGGGGTCATGCGGATGTCAAGAAGTCTGCGCAAAAGGCGCTGGACCCGCGGAAAGAGCCGCTGACTCGCCTCAAGCACCTTCGGGCTTTGATGGGTGAGTGGCGTGGCGAGAGCACAGCTCTAAGCCCGGGAGGGGGAGAGGGAGGGGGAGGGGGTTTGAAAGACAGGTCGGGAGTAGGAGGCGGGCGTCTCAGGTGCGATCGTGTATCTCCCGCCTCCTGCACCAACAGCTGGCAGTTACTCTGGTCTAGCTGACTGATGGTACTGTAGGGGTTACAGGAAGCGCTTTAAAGGTACAGGAGCCTTAGCAATAGCAGTCAAGCAATTGTCGCGTGGAATTTGCTGCTGGTTCAAAAAAGCTTCATGCCTGAAGCTTTGCCTTAGAACCCACTTCAATGCGCCGCTTATGTTCCTTCTCTCGTTCCCCTCCTTGATTTTAGATTGTTGTCCAGTTTCTTGTAAAAAAAAAAAAAAAGCCCGGCTCCAGAAGTTCTCTTGCAGCTTAAAAAACCCCTATATTTTAAAGTGCCAAAATTAGTCCTAAGTTGTAAGGTTAGATACAGCAAAATAGCCTGGAGGATTGGTGATGCATTTTTGTTTATGCATTTCAAGCTGTGCAGATTACTAAGTTGGTGATAACAATATAAAATTTAAAAGCCACAGTATCATAGTACAGGATCCTCCATGACCTCAAACTTCAAACCAGAATATTAATTTCTTTTCTCTATCTTCTGATGACTGGATATTTACCATTGTCATAATGATGCAGGGAATCACTGGAGAATATAGGAAATTGTTTCCTGAAGTATTGTCTGAGGTTGTTAGTGATTCCCCACCCACACATTTTTAACAGGGACTATATTGGACAAATAAATAATTTGTATGTAGAAGTACCAGTTCACTGAGTAATATGGTTTCCAATATGTTAAAGCTGAACAAAATGGTTTTTGGCATTAGTGTTAATTTTATTTGAGGATTTTCTCTCATTCATTGCAAACAAATGCTTCTAGTGACTAAAAGCAGTAAAAAAGCAGAATTTTTCAGCTGCACCTTATCTGCTTCTAATAATAAAACAATGTTCTTCCAGGAAGTTACATAATATACTGTTAAAGGGGAAGCAAAAATATTAATTTTGTGCAAGGAGATAAAATTCCACCATGGGAGTTCTTCATCTCAACACTGAAGTGATATCTTTTATTTATAGCTTTACCTTTTAGTATCAGCTTCTACAGATTGCTGAAGTTTATTTTTGTACATTTTAATTTTTGACCTTTTAAAATATGCATTGTGAAAATCCTTTTAAATAGTAAACTAAAATCTTTTCAAGGAACAAGCCTCACTATCTCCTTGCTTCTGACCTCACTCATGAATTGGAAATGTCATTATCTTATGATGGCCTCATTTCTATAAAATCTAGCATCTTGCTCATGTTTATTTAAAGTATTTAGATAGATTAATTACCATTCTACTCCATTAACAGCTTTGGAGAGAAATACTAATTAAACACTATTAAAAATAATATGTAAAATAGAAATTATAGTAGTAGTGTCAAAAGATCTGAAACAATAAATATATTTTGCTACCCCTTCTGAATTGTAAGAAATGAACTTGCTTTGACTCTAGTGGCAATTGATTTTATAACATGGGCCAAATATAGAAGGCCAAATTGCTTGTTGATGTCTTTTTGAAGCTTGTAAAACATATGGGCTTAGCATTGGACAGAGGGCAATTAGGAGATGCTGCATCAAAAAATGCCTGGGGGATTATTGAAAGGACCAGGCCTGAGAGAATATCCCTCAGAATTCTCTGAAATCTACATGATCTACCCACTCCTAGGGTACACTGATCTAATCTAGTCATCATGCCTGCAGAGGGAGCATGGACTATTCTAAACTTCTCAGATATGTCAGCCCCTGACAAAGACAACTTTTCTAATACTTCGCTATATAAACTATTGCTTTCCGTATTGAAAACCAGAAATAAATTATCAACTTCTGCTAAAATAATATGCTAAAACAATCGTAGTGAAATCCATGACAGGTCTTAAGAGTCTGAATTTCACTTGTCAGGAGAATCTTGGAATTAAATGGACAATGAGTCCCAAGACCAAAAATCATGGGGTCTCCACTAACCTCTTCATTGCTTATCATCAAGATGATAAGCGATAAGGTGACAGATAGACCAACAGAACCCCTGTCTTCACTCACTATTAAATATATACCCTTGAAAGTTATGAAGTCCTGGAAATTGCCAGGAAAGGGAGTTTGCTGGAATCAAGGGGCATCAAATTAATAATGAGTGAATAAATGATCTTATAATTGCTGACTTCTTAAAGATTTAAAAGCAGTATTAACTCTATAAATCTGAAATCTGTCCATTTTTGGATTAATATTAATAATAATCTCTTCGAATTGATGTAACAGATGTGACTCATAAAAGCAACATTGTGCTGTTTTTAGAGATTCCCAAAATAATGAAGTATTATGAAGCAGTGATGTATACACTTTTATGAGTAAAGAGCTGCCCTATCCTTTTAGTAAAATGCTGGGATCTGTTCATTAAAGTGTAAATTGTACATTTTAGCAAGTAGATGTTGTATGTTACTGGAGTTTATTTCTTGAGAGAGTTTTCATCATATAATGGTTAAAGTGTTGGACTATGAGTGAGGTGATTGAGGTTCTAGTTTTCCCTGAGGCTCATCCCTAATCAGTATTGTATTCTGGATGAGAAAGAAACTCCTTGTCATATAATATATAGAGATAGATTTACCCTAAAAGCTAGGTGAGTGCAGTGCAAAAACAAGCAGCCACTGGAGCCAGATGAGATAAATGCTAAGAACAACAACTGTGCAGTTTTATCCTCTACTAAAAGTGGCTGGACTTGTAGCTGAACTGTAATTACTGTTTATTATCTGCTGACTAAGATGTCAGAGGGGCATGCAAAATATTTCAACCTCTGTTTTTAGTTGCAAACAGGTACTTTGACTTTGAAATGGGCTGTTTGAAGCTCCCAGCATTTTATTCAAAGTCTAAAGATCTGAGGTATTTGAGCATAAAACGTTTAGAATTCAAATCTTATTCTTTACTCCTGTCATATAACCCAATGATTAATATATACCCATATTTCCTTCTAATCCTGAATGTTGGAAAACACGTTTGTCTGAAAATAAGATGGTGGTTGCTATTAGTACCGTTATTTTAAACTTGTACTAAAAGTGGCATCTCTACCAATTCATTGTATGTTAGTGAGAACGAAGCTGTGGGTAAATTCTACCTTGATAAAGGCAATTATTATGCAGTATTATATTTCAGTTATTGGTGTAGCTTTACCTACTGTCGAGGAAACACATTCAGAAAATAATGAACCAATCTGAAAAAGAAATCTTAGAGAGATTAAGTACTGTAAAAGTTTGAGTAGTAAAAGAATTGGAAATAATAGTTGCCCCAAAAAGATTTTGATTGTCCTTCCTTTTGAGTTATTATTATTATTTGTCTGATAACACATTCATATTTTTGAAAAAGAAAGTCTAGTAAATAATTTACAAGAATTTAACTGTACCCTAAATTATTTTAATCTGATGGTAAAACTGCATGTTTATGTTTAGAATGTTTTCTCCCTCCATTAAAACCTCAGATTTTCTTTTTTTTTAAAGAGAATTTCAAAAATTATCTCTGTTTCTAAAGCTAATAATCTTTCTTAACACCTTTTCAGTTTCTTTTCCACTTGCATCAGATTCTCAGTTTATATAAGTAAAAGTATGCTATTCAGGCTGTATTCTCATAATTCAAAACAAACAAAAATATTACAATTTAAATCCTAAATAATACCAAGTTATAGCAAATGCTTTTTACCTCTCCTTGATAAGCTATGAAGAGGAGAATTATGGAAAAAGTAGTAAAATATCTATGATATTTCTTACACAGATAAATAAATTTCAATAGCCAGAATAAATTTTATCAGGAATACCACTGTCATTAATGGAATTAACTACAGAGATTGATACTTATATGCTGGGTTTTGGGGACACTTGAAAATCAAAAAGGAATGCATTCATGTATATTTTCCTTTTTGTAAACTATTTTTAACTTTGGGCCTTATTTTTCTGGTTTTTGTTTTCATGTTAGAATTTTTTTAATTATGGATAACAATCATATGGTAGAGCTAGCATATTCACAATGCTTAGAAATACATTCTGCAGTATTAGTTGAGGCTTATGCTCTACCATATTTAAAGCTGCATATTTAGAATAATTTTAGTCCTGTTGTGTCTGTGTATAGATTTTGATAAACATACATCTTTTGTAATATTTCTGCAAATATCAGGAAAGTTGAATTCTCCGATTATTCAGATATTTTCTTAGTGTATTCTGATAGGCCCAATAAGTAATCTGAGGATCACATTATAAAATTATGGTTGCATGACTGTGTATGGGTATGCATGTATATGTGCATGAGTGGAAAGAGAGAGAGAGAGAGAGAGAGAGAGAGAGAGAGAGAGAGAGAGAGAGAGAGAGAGAGAGAGAGGTGTGTGGGTGTGTTGTAATATTTGACATCTGAGAGGATCAGCAACTCATGTGAGATTTTGGTATTCTCATCCAAAATTTTTGTATGTTTTCACCCGAACTTTAGGAGACTGGTTGGCTGTCTTTATTCCATTTATTTTTAGTTACTGTAAAATGAGAGGAAGTGCTATCTGTACTTCCTTTTTTGTTAGCAGTCATAAATTATTCAGACAAATGGAATCATGTAAAAATGCAGAATCTTACTACCAAGGTCAAAATGAACTTCCTTTCCTTTCAGTGTTACTTCTGCCTTGATATACTTTTATGTCCTTAAGGGGTCTTCATCATAAAGATTGATTAATAAAATGTGCATTTTGCTTTTATGGAACACTGTTCCTATAATTTGCAGCAATTTCCTATTCATTCTGCTTGCTCTTAAATTATGTCTATGATAATAAAAGACCTGAACTGTTACTAATCACAACTCTTGATTGCATCCTCCAGCAGATCTAAGTGTTTTATAAGAAAGTACACAATTTGTTAACAAATTGCAAAGTTTGATATGATAGAAGGGGAAGATATACATGACTAGATATTTATTTATATTAAAATTTTAAAACCACACAATACCCAAAGTTATTTTCCCTCTTTTAACAGCAGTTTCTGACCATTCAGAGGATTTTTGTGCTGATTTACTTTGCACAGACAAGGTATTTTAGGTAACATAGAATGTTGCAAGGCTTTGTTTTGAGACAAGGGATCCAGAGTTGAAAAAGAAGTGAAAAATAAGGCTGAATACTGAATATACTTCTAAGTTCTGCTTGTGTTTTTTTTTTCTACTTGTTGTCAAAGGATTCAATAAATTGGAATTAAAATTGGAATCATGGCTTGTGAAAGTAGAAAGCTAGTTCAGGGAAGAGGTGAGACCAAATTATCCCTGCAAGTAACTGTGCTAGAACAGATCAGGCATATGACAATGCTGTCTTGAGCTACACTGAGTGCCTGAGTTTCCTCCTTAAGTGTCCTGGCAGTTAGTTCAGCTGATTTAAAAACAGAAAGAAAGGCATTGATTTTCTTTTAACTCTTCTGTTAAGGTCATGGTCAACTTGATCTCTTCTAAACTGAGAGAGTGGTCACTTTGACATGGTTCCAGGGGTGTTTTCATCCCAGTTGCTTGGGGTAGGAACTGTAACTTTAATAAAGAATGAGTTTACTTTTTCCCTTATTTCTGCTGAAAGAAGTGTGTGGAAGAACATAAAAGCTGCAATTATAACAGGTTGAAATTTTAAGAAACTGTACATATTAGTAGAGATACATCAGGCGTGACTCATTTATAACATCTCAGATCACTGAATAAGCTGCATCTGTTGAAAATTTCATTGAATGTCTCGTTCATTGGACCATTACTGTGCTGAAATACCAAAGCAAACTGTGAATACATGGAACTAACTTATAAAGCAATATAAAAGTGAATTAAATCCATCATAAAATAAAATTTAAGATACCTTATTTTTAATTGTGATCACAAATTTTGTAGCATGAGCAGAAATTTCAAGTATTTTAAACTATCTTAAAATGGAATTTACTTATAAATATAGAAATAACTAGACAATTCCAAACTTCCAGATAATCTGAATACTGTCCTTTAATGCTAGTGTTTGGGTCATATAGTTGTGTTTCCAGTATTTTCTTCCTATTACACTATTTTGTTTATGCATTTTAATAATAATTTATGTATTATATCTTTCACATACAGTAACTTTTTGTTTTAATCTTTCTTGTATAGATGCTGTAGATGGAAGTGAACTCAAACAGTTCTTTGAGATCAACTATTCTCAACTTTATCTTATCTTCTATGAAAGTTTTGTAACACTGGAAACCAGTCTGAAACAAAAAGGTAACTACTGCGTGTTGTCTTTTAAGATGCTTAATTCTATCTTATTTTCTGCAATATATAAAGCTCTGTATATTTCAAATATCTTTAGTAATTAATCAGATCATTAGAAATTAGGAAAGTCTATCTAACCTTTCACATATAGTCATGGCCATGGTTTTCCCAGTTGCAATGTATGGCTGTGAAAGTTGGACCATAAGAAAGGCTGAGCGCAAAAGAATTGAGGCCTTTGAACTATGGTGCTGGAGAAGACTCCTGTGAGCCTCTTGGACTGCAAGGTGATCAAACCGGTCAGTCCTAGAGGAGATCAACCCTGACTGCTCTTTAGAAGGCCAGATCCTGAAGTTGAAACTCAAGTACTTTAGCCACCTAACGAGAAGGAAGGACTCACTGGAGAAGAGCCTAATGCTGGGAAAGATTGAGGGCAATAGAAGAATGGGACGACAGAGAATGAGGTGGCTGGATAGAGTCACTGAAGCAGTAGGTGTGAGCTTAAATGGACTCCAGAAGATGGTAGAGGACAGGAAGGCCTGGAGGAACATTGTCCAGGGGGTTGTGATGGGTCGGACACGACTTCGCAACTAACAACAACAATCTAACCTTTCAAAAAATTGTCTTTGAGATTGTTTACAAATGCTTTAACTATTTATTAAATTTCTATCCTGCCTTTCTACCCATACAAAGGAGCTTGCAGCCATAAAAATGCATTTTAGCAATTTTTAACACAATATAAATTATGAAAAATTAAACATCAATATTATTATAATAAATTTTAACAATTTAACAATTCAAAGCTTAGTGAAATTTCTACCATTTTTCTAAGTGCTGGTAGAGTAGAGCCATGCACATCTCTCTGATGAATGCATTCTGTTATCTGGATTTCATGCAAGTGAAGATCTTGTCTAGATTATTAAACTTCTGGGAGTAGGAAAACCTTCAAAATAGCCTCTCCTGCTGATTCGAGTAATAGACATGTACGTAGAAGTTTAATATGCTCAATTAGTCTGGTTTAAGGAAGGCTTGTTTTTTTTTTTAATATAGTAAGGAGTTACTGTGTACAACCTGTTTCAGCATGAGCATATGGCAATTAACCATATTGTTTTAAGTGTTGGGCACCGTTTTGGGACAAGCTAAATCTATAAATATATATTCAATTTGAACTTTAGAACATTATCTTATTAATTGCCGGACACAGTTTTTAAAGTATACCGTCAAACCTGTCTTGGAAATAAGTGATGATCTTAGACATACGGTATTTTGTGTTTAAATCATTATCTGGGCTGGGTTGGGTTTTTTTTCCTTCATTAAAACAAACTAAAATAATATATAAATATCATCATTAAATTAATAGAGAATAGCATTTATGGAATGAAAGTTTCTACATCAAAGCTCGAACAGTGTATCAGTGTCAGTATTCCTGAGATAAAACTACATAGGTTGCATGATACTTCCAGTGTCTGAAATACCCATCTGTTGCTTTCTTTTACAATTTTCTTCATTTTCCAGAAATTTGTAGATTTATAACTGTATAACCACCATTGCTGACTCTAATTTCATATCAAATTCTAAGCAACAAGAATATAGGATGTTAATTTTATCCTTGAAGCTTTTTCTCTGTTCTTTCACTGGGTATGACTAAATGCTTCATATTGGAGATTTTCTACTATATATTTACTTCACTAATATCTTAGCTAAATTAAAGTGTTTAATCCTTTAGACCTTAATTTAATCCTTTCTCACATTTAAAACTGCCGAAGAAAGTAGAAACTAGGAAATATCCTTTTCAAGATTAGTCATCTGAAAAGAATGAAAGCATAAATATAATAAGTAATTTAAAGGAGTTTAAAATTGAAAAACTGGCAAAGATTATCCAAACATGTATGACAAATTATTAAAAGAAAACAAAGTGTTGCAGAGGAAAATCTGAATGAATTATTAAAAACAAAACAAAAAGTACAAATATAAGTTGCTATCAGTCACCATGGCTAATTTTTTTAAAAAGAGTAGACCTTTTGACTATTGTACCATAAGCTTCCTGAACATATAATTAAGTTGCTATGATCCTCTTATAGATACTGGTTAGCCCTTGCTCAAAATTGTGTTGGTATGGATTTTCTAAAAAATTATCATAAGATTATGGTGATTGCCCCAAACTCCAAAATGAATAATTAGAACATCCAGGCCATCATCATTCTGGAAGTGAAGCCTATTGATCAAAGTGTGGACCTGTACTTTTTTTGTCCATGAGTTATGAGCAAGCTAAAGTAGTATTTAAACTACAAATCTTGGATGTAGAGTGACGAAATGAGTTGAATATAGTCTCTAAGATGTTAGGAACCTTACTCTGAATTGGAGACCACAGCTAACGTTATCTCATCACCCTAGAATTACAAGACTGAATGGTTATAGATTTTGGGGCTCTCCGGTTCGGGAACTAGGCCATCTTTGGTACTGAACAGGGTTACATTGCCCCAAACAGACCCAGAGTCCTCCTAGATTCATGACTCCTGCTCAACGAATAGATGGCAGTTGTGGCAAGGAGGCCTTTGTCCAGTTCTGTTTTGTGCACCAATTGCATCTGTTCCTGGATTGGGAAGTTCTGCTCATGGTCACTCATGCCCTGATGACCTCCTGGATGTACTACTGTAATGGACTTTACATGAGGCTCTTCTTGAAGAATATTTGGAAGCTTCAGCTTATGCAGTATGCAGTGGGATGTGCAGCTATGTGTACCCCTGGAAGGGCACATGTTATATCTATATTCCATGAGCTGTATGGGTTTCCGCTTTGCTTCCAGGTTCAATTCAAAGCGCTGTTTTTGACCTTTAAAACTCTTCATGGCATCTCTGAAGTATTTCTCTGTCCTATATCACCTCCTAAAGAATTAAGAGAAGTTTAGGGGAAAAAATGTTTATCTGCTTCTTTTACTTTAATCTCAGTGAATGTGACAGCCCCCCCCCCGTTTTTCTGCTAGAATGCAATTTTTTTTTCCTTATTTCAAGTAAATGCAGTACTTCTGTGGAATTATATCATCATTGCTATTATCTTTATGCATAATGAGAAGGAATGTTCTTTTTCTCTGCCCTTCAGGAAATAAATCTCAAAGGGAAGAGTTGGATTCAGTTCTTTTTCTTTTTGAAGTAAGTTACCCATTTTCAACAAATACTGAGCATTATAGTTATATGGTTCTTTATAAACACATTATATTTTCTTACAAACACAATGGTATGATCCTAGGTATCAGAGCTGGGGGTCCCTCCCTTTTAATTGTTTAAATAAATGATAAAAATATGGCAATGTAATTAGACCAGCCTGTTGTTAGACAATATGTGGAATGCAATTTTTCAATTAAAAGAGAGGGAGAACAAAGACAAAAGTTTGGAAGCAGACAACTTACCATTTCAAGAACATAGATTTCCATTTTACAGATTCTAGTCAGAACATTTATGAAACTATCAACCAGCTGTGTGAGCAGTTCTAGATATCTATTAAAGTAGATATCTAGATGGTCAAAATATGAGGCAACAACATGAATAATCGCATGATCAAATGGAAGAAGTTTAAGTAGAAATTCTTGCCTCTAATTAAAGAGGACAAGGCTGATTGATTCATTAATGAAAAGTTGTGTCTGAATCTGACCAAGAAAATATATCTGATAAATTGGTTGCCTTTGTGAAATGTTGCTAACACACAAATACTTTGATAAATGTGAACAATAAATATTTGCACATTTTTTTAAAAAAATAGGAATATTGTTGTATTTTCTTAGGAATCAGATTAACATTGAGACTTGAAACAATAAATCAGAGCATCTGAATGCCAGCAGTCTTACCTATGGTTATCTAAAGCTTCAGATTTTGATCAAGTCTTGGATTCCACTGATTTGTAAACAGATTGGTAGAGTGATTTATATGTTTAATTATAATAAAATTAATTGGCTCTGTTTAGAATATTATGTGATTCTAACTTTGTGGTTTGTGAATAATAATTTAGAGGTCTAAACTCAGTATGAACCCAGTTTTGGCTTATTTAATAAATAATGCATTATGAAACTGTCATGGAGTATAATGTGTGAATCTAGTCAATAACTCTGTACAACTAGTTGTCAATGATAATTGATTTCTAAGTTTAAACTGCCTTTGCAGTTGAAGATTCTGTAGCTCTTTACTTCAGAATAATCCCTGTTGAATTCTGTGGTTTCAGTTTTGAGTACATTGGATATACTGTGCACTATGCAAATTAGACTAAATCATTAGATCCAAGAAGCTGCTTTATGTAAATTTAAAACAATATATTTTCTTAACTTCTCCAGAGGATACTACAATTATTTCCTGAGAGAATCTTCTGTCGATGGCATTTTCGTAGCATAGGTAAGTATAGTTCAGGTTTGGATTTAGACTATTTATTTTAAATCCAAATTGATATGTTTCCCCATTTTACCTTGTAGTGTAGTTAAGGTAAAAAGATGCTGTCCCTTAATGGGAAACAACAAATTGGATTGACATGTGATATTTTACGCTTTGCACTACAATGGTTGCATATTAGATTGCTTTTTCATATGTTAAAATGTCAAATGGAATATATTAAGGTAGCCTTTATAATCTCTTATAATCTCTTTAATTTGGTATTTGAACAATTGTTTGCTATAGTAAAGAAACCAATGGTAGTTCAGGTATAATTGCATCTGAATCGTTAAACTGTTACGTGATGAAAACATGCATCATCTATAACAAAATGTATTGGTTTTAATCAAGAGTTTGGAAATGTATTTGTTGTTGAAATGGTTGCCCAGTTAACTGGAATGAATTCTATTAGGTTCCAATAAGTTGTAACACCTGTATGGAAAATCCTACAAGGTATCTTTTTAAAATCACAAATTAAAATAAATGTGACTAATAAATTTATGAGAACACATAATTAAATGAGCGCCTCAAAATCAGTGTGTTTTCTTAGAGGTGGCTATTTAACTTACTTAAAGTATTTATTTGTTTAGTTCAATTTATATAGCCACCAACAATAAACTGTACCACAGGCTCACTTAACCTCCCAATCTTTACACTTAGAAGAACAGCCAAAAGGCAGCAGGAGTGCAATCAATCTATCCTTGGGGGAGTAGTGTTCCAAATGGCAAGCGCAATGACAGAAAAGGCATGCTTCTTGGGTCCCACTAACTAGATGACACTTTTTAATAGATGCGACCTCAAACTGGGTGGACACCATCAGAGAAAGGTAGTGCCCCGGATACACAGGCCTTCATACAAGTGGGGACCAGCATGTTACATTGAATGAAAGTTACTTTAAACAGATTGATAAAATGTTAAAACCTTTTTATAGCAAGGACAACCATCAGATTTTTTTTTAAAAAACTCTATTGTTTATCTTACAAAGATAGGAAATGTAATGTTAGCCATTATTCTATTGTGTTTCCTGCATTAAGGGCTACACAACATTTGGAAAGTATTTAACAAACGAAGTAAAATTTTGAGCCGTATGTATGTGAACATTTTTTATTCTATAGTAGTATATAATAATTTTTGGCCACTAAAAGCATTACTATTTTAGTTCTTGAATTTGCATTTATTTTTATCAGCCATGACTAATGGTAGCTAATCTTTAATTTGAACATTTCCTAATCCATTTTTCTTTATTTTAGGGTCAATTTTGAAGAAACTTTTGCACACTGGAAACTGCCTTAAGGTATTTTAGTGCTTGCTTTAAATCCTGCATTTTTCTAAGCACATATTTATAACATTTTGTTTATTAGAAGAAAATGATTTGTTAGATACAGGACAATGTGTTATATGCTATTTTGAGATGTTTCAATGCTTTTTGGTCCTAGTTGTATTTTTTTGTGGCAGCAATTTCCACATGAGAGGAGGAGGATCAAAAACATTGCAAGATGGCAGTCGCAGCAGTGTGATTTGAATACATGTACCCCATTTTTGTGTGTACGCTGCCCCAGATAAAGCTCCAGATGTGACCCTATTTGCAAGCTTGGGTCACAGGGATTAGCTTGGAGTGGAGTAGCTTGATTCTCAGAATCGTAGGTGGTCCATTGATGAAGGTTTTCAAGAAACAATTGGATAACCATTTGCCTGGGATGGAATAAGGATTCCTGTCTTGGGCAGTAGGTTGCACTAAAAGATCTCTGTTAGTTAAAGACACTTGACTTCACTCAGAGTTGGATTCTGATTGGATAGGTTCTTTGCAGGAAGAGATAGTTTCACCCGCCTTGAAGCAGAGAGTTGTTTGCCACCTTCTCAAGAGGCTAGTCTTGGACAGTGTTGTGCTCAATCTCCAGCTTTCCCTTTTCAGAAAAGGTTGTTGAGAGGGTGATAGGCATTCAGCTTCAGATTTGATGAAGCAAATTATCTGGACTCCTTTCAGTCAATTTCAGGTTGGGCTATAGCAGTGGTTCTCAACCTGTGGGTCGCGACCCTTTTGGCGGTCGAACGACCCTTTCACAGGGGTCACCTAAGACCATCGGAAAACACATATTTCCGATGGTCTTAGGAACCGAGACACCGCTCTCTTTGTTGCAGCCTCATTCTCTTCCATCTTCTTTTCCTTCCCACCTCCCCGTGAGCTTGCCATACCCCTCAGGGCCTCACATTGCCTCCCGGAGTACTCAGCTGTTCGGTGGCCAGAAGTTGGAGCCGTTCAGCTGTTGGTCAGGACGCCCATGGAGCCGACACTCATGCTGCCAGGTAGAACAATGCCGGCCGCTGGTCTCCTTTGCCGCCCCGCACGTTGTCCTCGACCTCTCCCCTGCCCGTTCATGTCGAGCCCGCAGGGGCTTGACAGGGAGAGAGGGAGGGAAGGAGAAAGGGACTCCTCCTCCTCTCCTAAGGTTCAAAACATGATCAGCTTCCCAAGGGCTCCACAATCCCAATTCATGTGTTTCTGCCGTACCTCCTCAGCGCTTCTAGGAACGGGGTGGGCGGAAGAAAGCTTGGCTAGGCTAAGGAAAAAAAAGCCACGGAGCCGCGAGCTCAGATCGCAAGCAGGCCGGGGAAGGGGGTGAAGAAGAGGAAGGGGATTGGGAGAGAGGAAATGCTAAGCTTGTCCTCGCCTCTCCCAAGGACCTCCTGTGCCATCTCACAGGAATACTTGGTTTCAGATTTACACCGCAAAAGTTTTTCTCGCACAGAGGAGAGAGGAAAAACAATTACAGAACACTCAGGAATCCCTTGCAAGGCACCAGGTACCTTGGTGTTTATTTCCTAACACCTTCCCCCCGTGTTTTCTGCTCCACCCCAAATTTGCCTCCCTTCCACTCTCCTTACGCAGCCATCTATGGTCTTAATACAGCCCTCAGTCTGTCTCCCTTTCAACACCCCCTAAAATTCTTCATTCAGGCATGCTTCCAGTGTTCGGCTGGCAGGATGCAGGTAACCCCTCTTGCTGCCTCCCATGGTACCGTGCCACTCCACATCCCGCGCCTCTGTGCCTCAAGCCTCCATGGCAAGGACCACTGGCGTGGTCCCCAATGGCCGCTGACTCGCTCCCCGCCACCGGCGACCATGCAAGCCCTGGCAACCGCTCCAGCCTAAGAAGCAGGTGGCTGGGAGGTTGCCACGGCGCCAACCTCCTGCACCCGTCAGCTGGTGATCTCCGGACCTGCGCCCATCAGCTGGAACGTCCAGCAACACTTTGGCCGGTGAGGAAGGTGAAGGGGAGGCTCGTCAGTTGGCGACCCCCAAACTTGTGCTTGTCAGCTGGGAGGTCTGGCAAGGGAGCCAGCTGGCGTGGACGGCGATGAGGTGGCGGCTTGGCAAGCAGGCTCCTGCCTGCCCGCGAATGTCGGGCCCACCTGCCCCATCTGTAAAAGAAAAAGTCTTCCACCCAAGCATAACTTTTAAGGATTTTAAGGATCTTTCAGAGGGAGAGAAAGAGGGAAAGAGAAATAGAGAGAGGGTGAGAGAGAAAGAGAGAGGGAGAGAGAGAAAGAGGAGAGGGAGAAAGAGGGAGAGAGAAGAGAGGGAGACAAGGAGAGGGAGAGAAAGAAGGAGAGAGGGAGAGAGAAAGGGAGAAAGAGAGAGAGAGAAAGAGATGGAGGGAGAAAGAAAGGGAGAAAGGGAAAGAGAAAGGGAGAGAGAGAGAAAGAGGGAGAGAGATTAAATTAGTAACATGGTTGTTCAGTGAATCTGGTTTTCCCTTTAACTTTGCTTGTCACAAGATTGCAAAAGGTGATCACATGACCCTGGAATAATTTTATGGTTGGGGGTCACCACAACATGAGGAATTGTATTAAAGGGTCACAGCATTAGGAAGGTTGAGAACCATTGGGCTATAGTACTGAGACAGCATTAGTTGCCCTTGTGAATAATCTCTGGAGACCGTCCTATTCTCCTAGATCAGTGGTTCTCAACCTTTCTAATGCCGTGACCCCATAATATAGTTCCCCATGTTGTGGTGACCCCCAAGTGGGTGTGGCCACCAATAAGAGGGAGTAGGACAGCTAGGGAAAAGGGAACAAAATGGCGGACAGCATGGTTTGGCGACCCCCATGAAATGGTCGTTCGACCCCAAATGGGGTCCCGACCCACAGGTTGAGAACCACTGTCCTAGATCATTTGGTGGTTTTTAGTATCATCAACCATAGTATCCTTCAGAATGGCTTTAAGATTTAAGAGTTGAGGACACTGTTTTGTGGTTGTTCACCTCCTTCCTAAGTGGTCAGTTCCAATTGGTGTTTTTGGAAAGTGGGTAGAGGTTTTAACTTTTGTCCTCGTAGTGGCTTCTTTTAAATTTCTACATGAAACCATTGGGAGAGGTTATTTGACAGCACAGGCTGCAGTATTTTAGAGTGTTGATAATACATACTGGTCTCCTCAATGATCAGGCAATGCCATTCATGTCTGTGCAAAGAGGTTGTAAATGTCTGGATGGGGAGGAACTGGCTTCAACAAAGTTGCTTTGGGTTCTTCAGCCTCCTGGATCTGGTTAGGTGTCATTTATGATTCTTCAGATGATAACACTCCTCTGGCTAGAGCTGGTTTTCAATTTGAGAATCTTCCTGGATTTGTAACTTCTGCTCAAGGAGCAGATGGCAGCCATGGCTTGGGAGGTCTTTACACAAAATCATTTTGTACGTCGATTGTGCCATTCCCAGATTGGGAACCCCTGCTCACCATCACACATGCCTTGATCACTATCCAGTTAGATTACTGCAATACATGGAGCTGACCTGGCAGACCACCTGGAAACTGCAACTTTTCAAGAATGCAGCAGCAGTTTGCCCATATTATATCACTGTTGTACTAGCTGTATTGGCTCTCAGTTTCTTATTTATACTGCTTATCATTTTTAAACCCTAACAAAGGTTTAATTGCAGGATTGCCTCTCCCTGAGGGTATCTGCCTATTCCATTAAATCATGGAGACATGCACTCTCCAGGAAAACTTCCCTTAAGGAAATTGTCATCTGGTGGGACCTAGGAAAATTGCCTTCTCCATAGTTGCCCTGCCCTATGGAATACCCTCCCTTCTGATATCTGGCAGGCTCATACCCTTGGGTGGAGCAGTGGCTCAGTGGTTAAGACACTGGGTTTATTGGCTGGAAAATCAGTACCCAGGATTTTAGACCCGAACTCTACGCAATGGAGAGAGCTCCCGTCCTCACCCCAGTTACTGCCAACCTAGCAGTTCAAAAGCATACAAGTGCAAGTGGATAAATAGGTACCACTTTAGTGGAAGGTAACAGTGCTTCATGACATCATGCTGGCCACATGACTGTAGAAATGTCTTTGGACAGCAATGGCTCAGTGGCCTTGAAACAGAGATGAGCATCGCCCCTTAGAGTCGGCAATGACTAACAGAGTAAAATCCGCAGGGACTCCTTTGCCTTACTTTTTTTTACCTGACTCTTTCCCCAAGCATTGAGGAAAGGTGAGGCTAGAGGTCAGGAAATGTGAATGTCTGTGAGGGGGGATCTGTTTGGAGTGCCAGAATTGTTTGAATGTTGATTGCATGAATCTTGTATATTTTATTCTCTCTTTGTGTCCCTTCAAGAATTGTTGCATATAAGATGGACACGGATGGATGGATGGATGGATGGATGGATGGATGGATGGATGGATGGATAGATAGATAGATAGATAGATAGATAGATAGATAGATAGATAGATAGATAGATAGATAGATTAGATAGGTAGACAGACAGACAGACAGACAGACAGACAGATAGATAGATAGATAGATAGATAGATAGATCCTGTCTTGCTCCTACAGAGTCATGGCCCCAACTTTATGGTTGCTGATTACCAAGGATTTTTTGTGCATTTCTGATAGATGAATATACAGTGATTTGCAGTTCTTTTCTGTATGCTGATAAAATCTACATCTGAATTGTTTGTTAAAAGGAATTAGTAAGCAGTAACATTAGTCAAATCTTATTTGGGGAGATAGTATGCTTTGTAAATATAAAAAAAAGACTTCCCCTTCAGTTTCACCCATTAAAATGCCTCATTCATATGGGGTCAAAAAAACCCCACCCCTTTATTTCTCTTCCTGAAAGTTAGGTTGGATCAGAAGAGGCATTTAGAAGAGGCAATTTGACTGATAGTTCAGTTGAATATCAGTTGGCAACATTCAGCAAAGAAATATAACCTGTGAACTTCCTGGTGGAATTGATCCAAGAGAAGAAACTAATTTTGAGCTCCTTATTGTAATGCAATCCATAAGGAGGATCACAAAATATGTGTTAAGTTGATATACTTGAAAGAAAATTTGGTTCGGTGCAGAAGGAAACTAAAGAGCTTAAATCTTGTGAGAAAAAAATCACAGCACCAGAAACAAAAAGACATAACATTTGGGAAGAAATTGGCAACCTGTTAAGAGCAGATTCAAAACTACCTCTGCAGAATATCCTTATATGTGTAGAGAAGGAGCAGCCTCTAGTGGCTCTTGTAGAGAAATGTTTACTAGAGTAAAAGCTGAACGATTAAGCTACACTTGATACAGCCTGGAATCCAAGTAAGATTCCAATGTTATTCTAAACTAAATCCAGGACTTTCTTTTCCTATAGCCATTGTTTATTATATTATTTATTACCTTTATTTTCATCTTCACTTGATATAATCACTATAGTTTTCTTTTTTGAATTTTTAGTTTTTGAAATAGTAATTTTATGAATACAGTTAGTTTGTCAGCTAACATAGCTTGACATAGTTTTTATAATTATAGTTGTAGGAATCAGGTTGGGTATTTCCGATATAAAATTATACTATTTAAACTTTATACTATGTTACTTTGGATATAGTATCATGGAATTTTAAAGATCTGAGACATATAGCCAATAGGAGGACTGTTTAAAATATACATAAACTGGATATTTTAAAGTTTGAGGTAGCTTTTCTGCAAGAAATTCATATTTTTCCTAAGAAAGAAATATTTACTTGCTAAGATGAATTAACCATGGATTAATGGACAGAATTATTATAGTAATTAAAATTCTTTAGATTTTATAAGAGAGGGGAAAAAATTCAGACACTGAAAGTGACTGAATAATTTGAAACGCTGTTAGTCAGATGATTCTCATGAATTTATGGTCCAATTAGAGATAAGCCTATTCTATATAGTTGTTTAATTTAAGGAATTTAATTTGGTCTATATAAGGAGATACAGACTCAAAAGAAGATACTTGTAAAAATTTATCCTGGCAAATGTTCATGTATGGATGTATTATTATTTTCTTGATCCATAGTTAATAGGTCAAGAATTGTTCTATATCTGAGGATGGTTATACTATTTATGGTTTTTGGTAACAAATGTTAATCTTGTATAAACTGGCACTTTTATGTGTCACTATTAAAGGATCCACAATATCCAAAATATTTTGCAATTTATTTTTTCAAATAAATACATTGGTAAACAAAAGAAAGATTTGGGATATACTTAAATTTTAAATACAGCATATAGGTATCTTATATACATATGCTGTGTACAAGAAGAAAAATAATCATATCACATTAGGAAAGTAAAGAAATCATTATTGTTGACACAGTTGATGGCACCAAATAATATAAGAATTGTATAGAGCTTTTAAATCTGCTAAACTGACACGATGATTAGCCTTCTTATAATAGAATTTCCATTAAGATCTGTTAAGCAGGCATAATTCTTCTGAAGTCTAATTGTAATGTTTTCATCATTTTTGTTTTAAAATTTAGATTGTTTCTAATATATGTTTTGTGAATATTTTTATACTGTTTTTTTAAAATATGCCTTCTTTTCAGATAAGATGTGAAGGAATACGATTATTTCTTCTTTGGCTGCAAGCTCTCCAGACTAATTGTGCAGAAGAGCAGCTGTTAATTTTTGCTTGTCTTGTGCCTGGTTTTCCTGCCGTGATATCTTCAAAAGGTCCATGTACACTGGATACCCTCATCAGCCCTCCTTCTAGTCTTCCTAATGGTTAGTTTTATATTCTTCTGATTTTTTTCTTAGGTTTCTAGATAGGGAAAGTTAGTTGCTATGCTAATGAAATATTTGTCAATTGATACGAATTGCAGTCTTGAATAACAGTTGTAATGAATGCTTCTATAGAAAAAAATTTAAGTAATAATTAAAAAAAATCTTTTAATTATTCATTTAGGAAATCTGTGTTCCTCTCATTTTCTTAAAATAAACATTTTTGTTCTGTTCATTTTATGGGTTGTTTTATTAGACCCTGATGTAATGTTGCAACAAGCTGTGTGGACAGAATTACCATCTGTATCTTCCATAATGTTGATTACAGTATTGATAGTATAGTATTACAGTATTAATACCTAGTTGGTCAATTGTGCAATGTTTTGAAAGGAAAATATCACTGTCCAGGATGTGTGATACACCTTTGATTGTGTGTTTCTGGTTTTAACTGGGAGCCATAAGTGACTGTGTTCTCTGGTCTTTCTACCTGTCAAATTTGGTTCAGCAGGTAGGGGATGTTACAGGTCTTGTCAGCCAAGGAATGTGAATTACATAGCAAGCACATATATTTATATTGTATAGTTTTAATTTTTTAAATTTGTATGCTTTTATGATGCAGATTGCTCAGAATCACTTGCTGAGATGGGTAACTATAGAAATCAAATAAATAAATAAATAAATAAGCAAGCAAGCAAGCACTGCTCTGTTCTTTGTGCCTTATAGAAGATTATTCTTGGGAACTCTCTTACTTTTTTGTATTTCGCTGAGTGGTTATTGTAGTGTGAGAAATGCCTGAATTAAACACTTGAGATACTAAGCTTGCCAACCAGCTTGCCAACCAGTTATGGCATGACAAAAGACAGTGTGTAGAACATATAAAGGTACATCATCCAATGAGTGTAAATTGGTATTTCTTTGTGTCCTTGCCAATGCGTTATGCCAGTATGGGTGGACTAGCTCAGAAAAGCAGGTGGAAGAGCAATAGCTTTTTTACAGTTTTTCAGAGTATTTATTTTTAAGTTGAAGTGGGATACTTTATGCATTTATTCTATGCAGTTTCTTTATAGGCTGCTTGCTGGACAATTGAAGCTGCTGTGCTATTTGTTCCTCATTCCTAATGCCTTAAAAGAGTTGAACAGGGAATGCATTTATTGTAGTGAAATCCTTGAAGGTGTCTGGCTGAAACTTGGCAGGAATTACTGTCCTGTAATTTTCATTCCATTATTATGCCCAAAAATGAAGCAGCTGCAGTCATTAAAAGGATGTTTCCCCATTATATTCTATGGTCCAAGCTTTCAATTGAAATTCAGAATTGCTTAAATTGAATTATTTGCCTTTCAATCTTAAAGTAGAAAATTCAGTCATGCCACCTGCTAAAGTTTGGACTGGACCAGAGCTTGTTAACACAGGTTTGTTACATATATAATTTTTTGATAGATGAAATGTTACTTTAAAGATTAAAAGGGACTTGTTTTCAATATAATTAGAAAAAATAGTTCTTGATGTATAGCATAATTGAATCTTTGACTTAACTGTTAATGGTGGCACATTAGTAATGTAGATTTTCCCAAATCAGGATGAAAGTAATGATGAAGAACAAAGCACAGAAAGCGTTCAGAAGGCAAGTCTGTTAATGCAAAGGGAACCTGTGAATTTTGGCAGAATATTTCTTTTAATTGGAGTTGTACAAATATCTAAAAGTTCTGGATTTAGTCAACCAAGTTTTAAAGAGTTTAGTATTAGCTCTTATTGCAAGAGAGAGAGAGAGAGTGTGTGTGTATGTGTGTGTGTGTGTATGTATATATGTATGTATGTATGTATAGTTCATTGGGACTTGGGAAAGATCATTGTGTCAAACATGGTTTCAGCTCATTATACCAGTAAAATTGTACTATTGCATTATATATGTCCTTAAAATGTGCCATAATTAATAGATAATTTTGAAATTATCTTTCTCCTTTGAAAACCAAGAAAAGTATAATTGTTCACAGTGCACTCTTCTCTCTTTCATTGTGAGGGGAGTTGCTAGATATTGCTTGTTAAGAAGAGCCATGTGTGAGAGTAAGGTCCCTTGCTTCATCATGCTTGCCATTTTTTATCTTTATGCTTTATGTCAGTGGTTCTCAACCTGTGGGTCGGGACCCCATTTGGGGTCGAACGACCATTTCACGGGGGTCGCCAAACAATGCAGTCCGCCACTTTCCCCCCCTTTTCCTTAGCTGTGCTACTCCCTTTTATTCTATTGGCTTTGGAAAGCCAATAGAATAGACTCTCTTGAATAGAGTCTAATTCTATTGGCTTTCAAAAGCCAATAGGAATTGTCCAGGCTGTCTCTGCCCTGCTGAGCCCACCAAAAGTCCCATTCTGCAAACGGTGCTGCACCAGTTGAGTAGTCCTCGACTTACGACCGGTTGAGTAGTCCTCGACTTACAACCGGTTGGGGGTCGCGGCATTAAAAAGGTTGAGAACCACTGCATTATGTTTTATTAATATGATTGTAATTTCTTTGTTGTGAGCCACCAGAGTTATTTAGAGTTGGTGGCATACAAGTTTATAAAATGTTGTTGTTATTGGTCGCACAGTCAGCCAGGTGTTTGGACTGGCTTTGGCATTTTTATTCATCTATCAAATCCGTTCCAAATGACTTGAGATAGGCAGATATTGTTTGATGGTGTTAAAAGCCGCAGGAGGTATGCTGTTCCAAGTAAAGCTGCCATCTGCTATTGACTGATTATGCTTTTGTCAGTTGGTAGTAGTAGTAAATACAACAACAACAACAACAACAGTAATAATAGTAATAGTAATAATAAATCCACTGATTAATTGTTCTCACTGTCAGGAAATTTCTCCTTAGTTCTAGGTTGCATCTCTCTTTGGTTAGTTTCCATCCGTTGCTTCTTGTCTTGCCTTCAGGTGCTTTGGAGAATAGCTTGACTCCCTCTTCTTTGTGGCAACCCCTGAGATATTAGAACACTGCTATTATGTCACCCCTAGTCATTCTCTTCATTAAACTAGGCATATCCAATTCCAGTGACTGTTCCTTATATGTTTTAGCCTCCAGTCCCCTAATCATCTTTGTTGCTCTTCTCTGTACTCTTTCTAGAGTCTCAACATCTTTTTTACATCGTGGTGACAAAAACTGGATGCAGTATTCCAACTGTGGCCTTACCAAGGCATTGTAAAGTGGTATTAATACTTCACGTGATCTTGATTCAATCCCTCTGTTAATGCAGCCTAGCACTGTGTTGGCTTTTTTGGCAGCTGTAGCACACTGCTAGCTCATATTTAAGTGATTGTCCATTAGGACAGGGCTTTTCAACCTTTTCACCGACTGTATCACTTTTAGGCTATGGCAATATTCGAGTACCACTTAGCAAGGTGTCAAAAACTTGATGACCAAAAAAACAAAAAACCTGTTCAAAGTCGCAGTTGCACTGAAATGACTTATGACCATTTTTCACACTTATGACCATTGCAGCATGCCCAGGGTCATGTGATTTATGTTTGGATGCTTGGCAACTGATTCACATTTATGATGATTACAGTGTTCCAAGGTCATATGATCCCTTTTTGCAACCTTTTGACAAGCAAAGTCAATGGCAGGGCTGCTAGTGGCCAAGTGCTAAGGCGGGACTTCCTTCCTTCCTTCTCCCCCTCCCTCCTTCTCTCCCTCCCTCCTTCCCTCTTTCTCATGCCCACCCCCTTCTTAAGGAAGAATTTGAACCACCTCCCCCCTATGTTCCTTCTTCCATATATTCATCAAACAAGGAAGAGCCTCCAGAGACAGAAATGCTGCTGAGGAACTAGCTTAAAAAGGCACATTCCCCTTTAAGAATTATCTACTGGCTAGAAAGGAAAGTTAACAAGCGCGGCACTTAAGGAAGAAAAAAATGTAGTAAATATTGGCTGCTGGCTAAGGCAGCCTTCCCAAATGGCTCCATTCATAAGTAAAGGAATGCTACAGGCAAAATCCATTCAGGAGAAAAATACTTCAAAATCCCCTGCAGCAAAACTTACAGCTAACAATAGCAGAACAATAGAAGCTAACAGGAGACATCAGCCATCAGCCAATAGAAATTGCCAAACACTCCTTAAGAACACAAAGCCCACATTGCACAAATCCCAGAACTTCAAAAGCACATAAGAATCCTTCCATTCTCCACCTCCCTCCCTCCCTCCCTCCCTCCGTGTCTTACCTCCAGCTGATGTTACCTTTCTTCATTCCTCCTGGAGGGCAACCCCTCCCCTGCTGCATTTCTTGCCTGTTTGTTGCTGCCAGCACAGGTGGCTGCCACAGAGGTTGTAGATCGGTTCATGGCCAGACTGCTTGGACCCCTTGATCTCCTCTCCTCTCCCCCCCACCCTCCTCCTTCCCCTTCAGTGCAGCTAGAGCTGACTCCACCTCCTCCAGAGGCTGCTTCTTTTTTTTCCCTCTCCCACCCAAACTGCCTCCTTTTATAGCTTCTCCTGTCTCCGCCCCCCTCCTCCTCCTTTCTCATGGGGTAGGGTGAGCCAAAAGTGAGCCTGGGGTGAGGCTCAGCCTCAGCCACTCTGCAGCACCAGAGTCCTTGCTTGCACTGGTTCTTTCCCTCCCCCACTATACTTGGCTAGCAGGGCTGCGTACCACCTGCCACTCGTTAATGTACCACAAGTGATACATGTACCACTGGTTGAAAAGCCCTGCACTAGGACTCCGAGATCCCTCTCACAGTTACTACTATTGAGCAAAGTACCACCTATACCAGTGGTGGCGAACCTATGGCACGGGTGCCAGAGGCTGCACTCAGAGCCTTCTCTGTGAGCACACGCACCGTTGCCCCAGTCCTAAGCCTTCAGCTGGGTTTTATAAAACCTTTTCGCTTTAGGTCTCCGCCACCGTGTGCAAAAAAAAAAAAAGGTTCAATCAATCAATTTCAACTTCTTGCGGGAAAAAAAAAGATCTTGCAAAGTTGGAATTGATTGATTGAACTTTTTAGTCCCACCCAGTCTGCCATTACCACCGCAGCCATGCCCAGCCAATGGGCCACGCCCAGCCAATGGGCCACACCCACCCGGCACCAATGATGCATAAGTGGGTTTTGGGTTGCAGTTTTGGCACTTGGTCTCTAAAAGGTTCGCCATCACTGACCTATACTATACCTGTGCATTTGGTTTTTCTTGCCTAAGTGTAGAACCTTACTTTTTTCATCATTGAATTTCATTTTGTTAGATAGATAGCGTCCAATGTTCAAGTCTGTCAAGATCTTCTGTATCTTAAGCCTATCTTCTGGAATGTTGGCTATTCCTGCCAGCTTGGTGTCGTCTGCAAATTTGATGAGTTCCCCATCTATCCCCTCATCCAAATTATTGATAAAGATGTTGAAGAGCACTGGGTCCAGAACAGAGCCCTGGGGCACCCCACTACACACTTCCCTCCATGTACATGCAGTGCCATTGAGGACCACACGCTGAGTACAGCCTGTCAGCCAGCTACAAATCCATCTGGTGGTGATGCTGTCCAATCCACATTTTTCTATCTTATCAAGTAGTAGGTTATGATCTACTTTACCAAATGCCTTACTGAAGTCCAAGTAAATTATATCCACAGCATTCCTCAGGTCCACTAATTTTGTCACTTGGTCAAAGACTGTAATAAGATTTGTCTGGCATGATCTATGTCAACACTGCTAACATCGGATGTTTTTGCATTGACAACAGAGGGAAATGTAGCCATCTTTACCTTTTGCTTTTTTTAGAGTTAGGTGATGCTGGAAGGGGGGATGTGAATGAGAGTCCCGCTAGACATAACAACACTAAATCTAGCATGAGAAACAAGGTTATTGTAACCAGAATTGATAAGGAATTGGCAGGCTGGAGAACTGGAGAGGAAGCCTGCGCTTCAAGCTAATTGGGGAATGTGATTTATGACTGTTAATTGGAGGAGGGAATTGTGTTTTGATGCTATGTGCTCAGGGGAGGGGAATTCAGTTTTTGGCTTCGATTATGCAGTGCCGATATTATGCTACTCAAAATAAAGATTATTTAAGGCAAACAATGCCTTGAAGTTCTTTTGAAGAGTTTTATCTGTTGGAACCATGACAGTCTGTTTTTCACAAACCCATGTTGGCTTTTGGTAATGACTTTGTTTGCCTCTACGGTTCGTTGATTTGTTGTTTGATTATCTTTTCCAGAATCTTCCCAGGTATTGAGGTCAGGCTGATAGGTCTGTAGTTTCCTGGATCCATTTTTCCCCCTTTTTGAAGATGGGAACTACATCAGCTGTTTTCCAGTCCTCTGGTAGTTCCCCAGTGCTCCAGGATTTTTGAAAGATATAGTTCAGTGGTTCTGAGATCACATCTGCCAGTTCCTTCAGAACTTTGGGGTATAATCCTTCTGGTCCTGGTGATTTGAACTCATCTAGGGTGGACAAGTGCTCACTTACCATTTTTTTGCCTATCTTAACTGTGTTTCTAATTTGTTTTTTACGGTACTGTTTTTGCTAGATTGGACTGTTTTTTCCCCTTTGTGTAAAGATAGATGCAAAAAATGAGTTAAATAGTTCTGCTTTCTCCCTGTTGCTTGTCACCTTCCTGCCACTTTTTCCTACTAATGGACCAATCATTTCCTTAACTTTTTTCTTGTTTTTTACATGTTGAAAGAAGCTTTTTTTTTTTGGTTATTTTTGACTTTTGTCGTAAGCCTTAGTTCATTTTGAGCCTTAGCTTTCCTCACTTTATCTTTGCAGGCTCGGTTACTTGCTGATATTCTGCCTTAGTTATATGCCCCTCTTTCCACTTTCTATACTTGTCCTTTTTGTCTTTCAGTTTATCAGAGAGTTCTTTATGGAGCCATGCTGGTTTCTTTTGAGAGCTGTTATTTTTCTTCTTCATTAGTATTGTGCTAGACTGGGCTTTTATAATGTCACTTTTTAAAATTCCCCAAGCTTTGTGAGTTGTTTTCCCCTTGAGGATTCTCATCCATGGAATCCTTCCCGAATTTATTGAAATTAGCTCTCTTAAAGTCCAAGACTCTAGTTTGACTGTGTTCTATTGCTCGTGCTTGCATAATGTTGAATTCCAATATTGCATGATCACTCCCCCCCAAGGTTCCTGTGGCTTCAATACCTTCTATCATTTCATCTCTGTTAGTGAGAATTAGGCCCAATATGGCTGATCCCCTAGTTCCCTTCTCTATGTTTTGGCAGACAAAGTTGTCTGCTAGGTTTGTCAGGAATCTTTGATTTTCCACTTGATGCAGAGTTTGTCTCCCAATTGATGTCAGGGTAATTAAAGTCCCCCATTACTATTGTGTTGTGCTTCCTACATATCTTAGTTAGCTGACTAGCAAAAAGTTCATCTATTTCCTCAGTTTGGTTGGCTAGCCTATAGTATACATCTATGGCAATGTCATTTCCTACCCTTTTATATTGACCCAAATGCATTCAAGACAGTTGTGAGCACACCAATCTGAAATCACAGCTGATAGTTCATTAGCTAATGTTGGTCTTCGTATGCATTGAGTTCGTCCCAAGAGCCTAGGATATCATAATGTATTGGTATAATGTATGTGTGAATCCATACAATTATAATTTTGTAATTGAAAGATGGAAATTTTGTCAATTCACAGATTTTCCAAGAGTCATCTAAAGACTTTTTGGTATGGCACCCAGTATGCCAATAACCACTGGGACCACCACTGCCAGTTGGAGAAATTGGAGAAATATCAAGATAAGCAAATCAAAGTTAAAAGATTATGGCACAATCTTTTAACTTTGATTTGCGTATCTTGTAATTTCGCCAATTCTTTCTCTTCTATCCCCTGGTATTGCCACATCAATTGTCCTTACTTTCTTCAATCACAATTAAATCCAGTGTGTTATGCTCCAAAAGTGTATCAGTTTGTATTTGGAAAGCCCACAATAATTTAACCTGCTCATTTTCTACTACTTTTTCAACTCTATGTTCCCATTAATTTCTTATTATTGGCACATGATAATTTTTACAGATGTGAATCGTTTTGGTGACTATTGTTATTTATAGTCAGTTTTTTCAATCTTCTTGCACAAGTCGAGTATATGTTCTATATGTTTCTTCAGCTTCTTTGTACAATCAACACTTTGAATCATTTGATCTTTTTTTTAATTCTGGCCTTGAGCAGCCAAAATCAAGCCTTAAGTTTCTTTTTCTTTTCTTTTCTTTTTTTTTAATATTCCAGTTGTAAGCCATTGCCTAGTTTTATATGTGTAAACTTTTACCACAATCTTTTGTAGAAATTAATCTTGTAATACTTTCCTTTATAGCAGTCTGTGCTTTTATTATATTAGCTTGATATTCATGTTTTGTTTCCTGTACATTCTGTCCAAGTTCCAGTTTTTAAGTTGCATCAATGCTTGGTCTTGCACGATTTTCTTCTTCAACAGATTGTTTGACTTGAAAATAAACCTCTGGCTCCATTTCTGTGGAGCCAGTATAATCTACCAATATCACTAACAAGGATGTAACGCATAATGAGAGTAGTTATGAGCTTTCTTGTTTTTCGGTCCAAACTGTCCAGCTCAGCTTGTGTCCAATTAATAATCCCAGCAGTATATCACATCACAGGTATGGCCCAAGTATTGATGACTTTGATGTTAATTTCACCATTTCAGTTTTGCCTTTAGCATTTTTCTCACTCTTTGAATTTATTCTTTGCTAATCACATTTTTCATTTGCCCACATGCTTGATGTTATCCAACTGTAAAATGCCCAGTTATTTGTAGACTTCATCCTAATGGCTTCTGATGGCCATTCGGCATTTCAATTCCGTTACTGCTTGTAATTTTACTGCACTGTAGCACATTTCTCATGATGATGGGGATGCCGATGGTTGCACAGTCAGCCAGATGTTTAAATTAGATTTGGCATTTTTGTTCACCTATCAAGTCCTTCCCAAGGACCTGGGATAGGCAGATGTTGTTGTTGCTAGTATTATTATTGTTTTGTAAGTGCTGCATTAAGTTTCCAAATGCAATTTCAAGTCTGGTTTAACTTATAAAGCCTTACATGGCCTGGCTCCTGAGTACCTTACACACTTTCTCCTGTAAGAAGAAATTATCAGTCATTTTTGCTCAGTCTAGTGAGGAGACAGTATATACATTTTTAAAGTAAATGAATACATTAAATAACAAAACGCTAAAATGCTTGTTTTTCTGGTTATCTTTTCAGAAAAAGTAGGCTTTTTGTTTGTGACTTGATGAACTCAGCCTCAGGTTTTCTTTATAGATGAAATACAAGCTGTTGAAAACCACTAGTTTCAGGGGGTACAAATTTTATGGTATGATCATTTAAAAAAATTTTATGTCTTATTTAGGGAAAATATATCCTGAAGATATAACACCACTTTTACCACATGCTACTGGTGAAAAGATTGAAGACCCAACTTGCTACTTTCTTCAGATACTCCTAAAATATATGGTAATTCAGGTGAGCATATACATAGTAAATTTATTTCATTGAAATTGTTTAATTTATTCATGTATTCACATATTAATTCCCATAGCACTGTCTTATTTCTCATCTTTTCTCATCTTTCCTACTATCTTCTTGCATTGGTTTCTTACAATTTATCAATTGGTGTTTGTAATTTATGATTAATGATTTTAAGTATGATTATGACCTATGACCTATTATTTTCTGTTTACATGTACACTGTGAACTTATGCACTGAAAAACAAATTTGTTGTGTGTCCGATCACACTTGGCCAATAAAGATTTCTGTTCTGTTCTGTTCTATCCTATTTTTTCCTATTCCTATTCCCTACATAATATCTAAAGTAAGTTGAGGCTTGGAGAAAAAAACACTGGCATTATTTTCAAATTAAAGTAAGGTGGTTCTTGCTTACTGACAGTAAATGGGAGCAGGAACTCTATCACTGGTCACAAGGCATGATGTTACATGACCATACCAACTTGCACTGGCAGTTCTAGCAACCCCAGTCATTAAATGAATCCCGTTTGGCCTCAGCACCCCACAGTCATGTGATTGCCTCTTGCAGCCCCCTAGCGGCTTCCCCATTAACTTCACTTGTTGGAAGCTAGCAATGAAATTTGCGAATGGTAATCACAGGACTGCAGGACTCTGCAATGCCAAATAGTGAACTTGTTGCCAAATTCCCAAATTGCAGTCATGTGACAATAGCGACACTGCAATGACTGTCGTAAGTCCCCCTTGTTCAGTGCCATGGTAACTTTGAACAGTTACTGGCTAAGTTGACAGTAAGTAAGGATTACCTGTATTTATAGTTTTTATTAATTTTAATTTGTATTCTAAATAGCTTAGATTCTATGTTCTCGGGGAGGGGAGTTTGCATTAAAAAGTATATATAGAATTTTTCATTACACAAATATTTCAGCATTCTTTCATTTACCGTAACTTGAATTCTTTTTTAATTCTGGCAAAGGCTGCAAAGTTGGAATGGAAGAATAAGGAGAACCTTGACACAGGATTTAAGTTTCTCTTTGCGCTCTTCAGAAAGTATTATCTTCCTCATTTATTCCCCTTTATAAAACTAACCAACCTCTACAATCCTGTGCTTGGTAAGTAACTATTTTACCTCTTTTATTTTAATAACATTAGAAGAAAAGTTTTTCCCCCAATATTAAGATTGAAATCTTTAGAAAATAAGTTTAAGATCCAGAAAGATATTCATAGATTTGAACACTAGTCCCTATCCAACAAAATATAATTCAGTAGTGAGAAAAGTAAGATTTTATACTTAGGCAAGAAAAAAACAAATGCACATGTATAGAATAGTGGATAATCACTTAAATATGAACCAGCAGTGTGCTCCAGCTGCAAAAAAGCCTACACAGTCTAGACTGCATCAACAGAGGGATAGACTCAAGGTCACAAGAAGTGTTAGTACCACTATATAATGCTTTGATAAGACCACATTTGGAATATTGGATCCAGTTTTGGTCACCATGATAAAAATGATGTTGAGACTCTGGAAAGAGAAAAGCAACAAAACTGATTAGGGGACTGGACACTAAAGCATATGAGTGCTTGTAGTGAACTGGGTGTATCTAATCTAGCAAAGAGAAGGAATGGGGGTTGACATGCTAGCAGTCTTCTAATATCTAACTGCTGTCACAATTCTCCAAAGCACTTGAAAGCAGACAAATAAGTAATAGATGGAACGTTATCAAGGAGAGATCCAACCTAGAACTAATGAGAAATTTCCTGACAGTGAGAACAATTAATCAGTGGAATGACTTGCCTCCAGAAGTTCTGGGTGTTCCATCACTGGAGGTTTCTAAGAAGAGAGTGAACAGCAATTTGTCTGAAATGGTATAGGATCTCCTAACATGGGCAGAGTGTTGTATAGAAGACCTCCAACATCCCTTCTAATTTTGTCATTTTGCTAAATAGGTATCTTTATGTAGATAACATTATTTTCTTGATAAGCCATATATAATTCCCCTCTATTGTAAAATTTAGATTCATCCTACTCCAGAGAACAATGATACTTGGAGAAACTGGCTTACCAGATGGGCTCATTTTTTTAATCATGGCTTCTGAATTGCAACTTAAAGTTAATAAAATATTGATCTACCTTATAACATTTCTTTTAAGATTACAATTTTTTTTAAAAAAAATGTATTTAGGGTCAATATTTGTTTTACAAACCCATCCATGCAACTTATTTTACCTCTCTTAATGCAGATTACTCTCATTATGTATAGTTCTTATTGTATGCTTCAACCATCCTTTCGATCTTTTTTGCCTATGAACGCACATTATTATCTTCATTTGTGTTTCCCTTATTTGTCCTGACAGCCCAGTTTACACTCTCTGGAATGTGAATTTCCATTTATAAGTCAGGTTTTTAAAGATTCAGTTTCATGTTTTGTGTTTTACAGAGATCCCTGGCCTGCGCCCCAAACCAGTATATGTTAGTACAACTTGTGATGGTGGAAATTTTTATAGTACAAAAATTCCATACCTGGATGCTCGTGTAACTTTTATAAAATGGCTTGTAAATTTTTTTCTGGAAAAGAAATATCTTTTAGCACAAACTTTCAGGAATGGTGTGGAAGTTCTACCCAGAATCATTCAAGTATGTTGCAAGTGTTATTTAGTTTAACATTTATGATGTTGAATCAACATCAAGTTACATTAATTAAATTGTGACTTTTATATGAGCTTGAGTACTTAAATTTAATTCAGCAAAATATTACATATTTGAGACCTGATACCTTAAATAATATCATGTGCCTAGTAATCAACTTTAGTAATGGAATGACATCCTTTTAATAATTAGCATTATTCAACATTTATTTCAAGTTAGCTTAAACTAGTGGAGATGGAAAATTAGCACCTGAATGTCTAAGTTGTGTGCATGTGCATTGTGAGTTTGTGATTTTTGAAGACCTTGTAATTTTAAACAGCAGCAAAGAATGGTTTAGAATGAAAGTGTTTTCCGTTGTGCTTTACTATGCTCAAATATACTTTTTGAAAGGTTTAGAATATTTTTTAATTATTAGATTTGTGAAATGATCACCCATATTTTGTTGCCCTCTAACTTTGTTTTCAGAGTAGCAATTTAGTACTCACAAGCACCATTTTATCTACAGAGACACACCAGCACACCCCACACAATACTCAGCCACTTCTGTTATTTCCTACCATTCCACTGGCTGCAGTAAAAAATGGCAAATAAACAGAAGTCACCTACTGGATATGTCTAATTAATAAGTATCCGTTGTTCCAGATGAGCATACTGGAAGGAGAGGGAGATGCTTGCTATATAATCTAAGGAAATCACCGAAGGTAGCAGAGATAGTGGCCAGGTTATGGCAATTGCCACTTAACTGCAAGCTATCGTTAAACATTAAAAGTCCAGAGGCTTCCATTGATAAAATAGTGGCCACTAGGTTGCAATCATTGCATAATCCCAAGATCGTATCAGACCTCTGCAAAAGGTTGCCATGCAAAATTGTATATGTGTGTGTGTGTACATACATACAAATACATACACAATAATATGTGTGTGTTTATATATATATTTATACACACATATGTATTCAATCTTTTTATTTAACTTTTAATTCAGTGGTTTCTATGATTTGGGTGATGGGGTTAGTTGCTAATAATTAAAAGTTAGACTAAATTCTCAAGTAATGTCCATAAATTATCACGGTTGTTTCCTTGTATCTTCTTAAGACAGTGGGTAACACAGTGCAAGATAAAACTCCTGAAGTGGAGACCAGTGTTCCATCAGATCAAGAGAAAAATCATATCAACCACAGCGGAATACTCAATGATTCCAATTTTTGCAGCATTGAAGAGCAGCACCGATTTGCATACGAAATGGTGCAACAAATATTTTTGTCTACAAGAGATAATGTGAATTTTGTTAATGAAGTATTTCATCAGGTTGGTATAAACTGACATCTGTTTATATGTTGTAGAGCATCAGTTCCCCACCTTTCTCTTTGTGGGAATCTGTAATATCTGTGAAAGATTTTAAGAATCAACCCTTAGCAGTGTATTACCTATGTTTTCATGGCACACATCCTTTCAGTTAGTGTCATTAAATGCTTAAATTAAATGAAAGTTAATTGTGATTTTGACACTCTGTGAAATTTTCAATAGCAGCACCAATCTCTTCTAATCTTATAAAACGTTGCTCAATAAAAAGGTTAATATATTTTGATATTTATTCATTAAATTTAGAAACTGCTCATTTCCCTCATAGAAGGACTCTGGGTTGTATACAAATAAAATATTAAAACATAAAAACTGAATATTTGAAATTTTTATAGTCAAGGCAAGAATAGTTAAAATTGAACATTAAAAGTTTGTTAAACAATGAGGAGGAGGGGAGAATTTTCAGAGTGCTAACCAGCCCTATGGCTGTGTGTGCGAGCCCCAAGGAGGATAGCAGAGCCAGGTCTTTAGACAGATATGAGCCGAGGTGGCACAGCAATTAGAGTGCAGTACTGCAGGCCACTTTAGCTGACTGTGTTCAGCAGGTCAGCAGTTCAAATCTCACCAGCTCAAGGTTGACTCAGCCTTCCATCCTTCCGGGGTAGGTAAAATGAGGACCCAGATTGTTGGGGGCAATGTAAATATATATATACATTGCTTACTGGTGTACACCGCTTAGAGAGTGCTTGCACTTAAAGCGGTATATAAGTCTCATAAATAAATAAATAAATAAATAAATAAATAAATTTCCAGAATGCCAGGAGACTACAGTCCTGTCTCTCCTCTGAGAATGTTGTAATGAGCTTCCTGGGACCCCTCCAGTCAGAATTCTTTAACTGACGGGGTCCGCAACATACCTTTCTGCCTGACTGGGTGGGATAGGCTGATGGTTGCATAGATAACCTGGCCCCATGCCATGTAGGGCTTTAAGATCATAACAAACATCTTCAATTAGACTTAGAAGCAAGAGCAAAGGCCCTCCTAGCCACAACCGCCACCTGTTCTCCACAAGGCCTCTGAACACAACCTTCATGGAAAGTCTGGGGACAGGCTTGGAGTATATATCTTTGTGGCAAATAGTGCTTTAATTTATTGTTTAGATACAAGACTAAATCCTTGTTTAGGTCTGAAGTTCAATGATATGTTTTTAACATGTTGCTATCTTTCCCCCCCAAACTTATATCCCGAATCCAGTCAGGATATAAGAAATATTTATATATTGAAGAGTATGGGGAAAATATTTTTATAAGTAGCTGAACTATTAGTGTAGATGTTTGCAAAAGGTGGAACATTTTTCAATCATTAAAGTCCCTCTCCCATAATTGAATACCAGTGTTTCAGTGAATAAATAAATATAATCAGTTGAGGAACTTAACATTGCATTTATATGAATAAAAATATTTTAGATTGTTTGAAAGTACTCTATTCTGCAATCAGATAATAACAACAGGTAGTATAGTAATAAATACTTATTTTAGGTACTTAATTTTAATATAGTATTCTCAAGACTTTATTCATTTATTCGTGCCACCTATCTGACAAATGTGACTCTTGGTGGTACACTATAAAAAACCCATTAAAAAACAAACAAAATATTCCACAATAAGAACATCAATATTATTTAAAAAGACTAGAAGAGAGCATATTTAGTGTCATAAACAATATAGCCATCTCATTTATTCTCCATTTTCCTAAGGAACCCCCCACCCCCCCACGTCTATTGACAGAGCTACATTTTCAGGAACTTCAGGAAGGCTACCATGGATGGGTCTTATCTCCAAAGGAAATGTCATTCTATAAGGCAGATGCCACAGCAGAAAAGATCTGTCTCCAGATGTAGCATCTTAACAGACACGAATGTACAACATGCCTCTTCTGCCAGAATTGCTGCCACATTATTTGAATTCTTTTATTTTAGTTTTTAAACCTATATTATTGTCCTAAACCATATGCCTTTTCAAAATATTATAGTTCCTCTGATGATAGGGTAATGAAACTCGTAGACATCACATAGACATTGAAAAAAGTTATCCTTTGTATTAAAATATATGTTCAACTATCTCCACACTCTTGATCTTGATGTGCTTTTGTTACATAAATATGCATGACATCACAATGATTTTCCTTTTATGGATTAAAATAGGTAAATGGAGAACTTTGAGTTCAATCTCATATCTGTTACTCCCCCTTTAGGCTTTTTTGCTGCCAGCATCAGAGATATCCTTAACTGAAAAGATTGTGAAAGTTTATAGGAAATGGATGTTACATGAGAAACCTCTCTTCATGGAAGAACCAGATGTAAAAGAGACAATTCAAGATGATGATGTCATCCCAGAACACTCAACAGTAGAGACCGATGGCAAACATGTATGCTGCCAGTCATTATTAATAGGCGGTGGGTTTGTGTGATGTAATCAATTGCAATTTGTAAATAGTTGTATAATCTGAGCAGAGATGTTGCTCAGACTAATGTAAATAGTATATACAAAACTTGGTTCCACTTTTTCCCTAACAATCTGTTGCTGCTCAGGTACTCATTTTTCTCTAAGTAACTTAATAACTTAATAAGGGAATTAAGTTATCAGTTGCGCTATTTATCATAGATAAATTTTAATTATATGCTTAGAACATGGAAGGTTGGGTATGAAGAGTATAATAGAATCAAGGCTTTGCTCTCCTTAAAAATCTTTTAGTTCTTAATATATTCTTGCACAAATTGAATATATCTGAATATATTTTTCTGAAGCTTTTGTTTAATAATCATTTTATAATGGTGTAAAAGTTTTTCTTTTTGTTCTGATCATTACTATAAATTTCAGAGGATTTCTTTTGTCAAAAAATCTAAATATATGGGAACAAAAATTTGGATCTTTAAATCTGAAATAGCTGGGTTTAAAAGCATATCATTCTTAGGGATTGCATTAATTTTTAATCTGGGAGAAACATATGTTTATGTTTATTATTTTTTCCTTAAATATACTTTTACCCAAAAGAAAGTGATATATTAACATTGGTAATATAAATATTTTTGTCTAAGAAAAGTAACTTTTAGGATATCCTATTATATTTTTCTAAAAACATCTGTGAGTGATTCAATTTTGGAATCCAACCTTTGTTTCTGTATTATACTGAGTTCAAATAATGACACATAGGCCACAGTGTTAAACTGATATGAAAATGTCAGAAAATTGCAACTGTATTTTCAATAGGTTCACATAGTTTAAATGAAATTAATTCATCACTAATAGGTAAATATATGTAAAATTGTTGATAGTAAATGAATCAGTAAAACTAATTCTAATACAAAGTTAGATTTTTTTTTCAAGTTGTACAAATGTTTTGTCAGACATTGTTTTTTTCACTGGAAATATTTATTCACTATGTATATCATGTCACTAAAGAAAATGAAAGGAGTTCTAATGCTGTCGTCACTAATTTAGCCAATTCAAAATCTGCTCCATCATTCTTTATTCTAGTCTGTATTATTACTACATCTGATTTCAAATCGTATCAAATCATCACCTCTTTGATGGTAATACTGGTATAGACTTTTGTAAATGGAACCAGTTCCTCTCCCCCTAAGTTTATGTGGACAATTATAGACCTTGTGGGCCCGCATACTTGCGAGATTATCACCACTTATGTTTTTCCTCAGTAGTAATATTCAAGTAGAAATGGTACTTTCTATTGTATAAAGCAGGGTTGTCAAACAGCCGGCCTGCGGGCCGGTTTCATCATACCGAAGCAGTGCCCACCCCATTGCCAGCAATGCAAAAAAGAGTTGCGATATGTCGTGACACGTCACGTGACATGGCGAGTTTGACACCCATGGTATAAAGTATGTGTAAATTAGTAGGGACATATTGCAAGTCACACACACACACACACACACACACACACACTCACTCACTAAATAATGTATAAAGAGTATTTAAATATTTAACCATTAAGTACTTTATTTTTGAAAAGGTATTGAAGCTGCTAATTCTTTTTTTTTTTTACAAATTTTATTTATAATACAATTAAAAATAAACAAACATTGGATTTGATGTGACATTCCAGTATATACATTCTTATCAGATTATTCCACTTTTTACAATCAATTATTCATCTCTACATATAAATCTAAGTTTTATATACAATACTTATTCTAAAATAACATATATTTCTATCTTAACATTTGTCTTTAATCCCTACTGTCCTCTTCAAATTCCTCCAGTGGTAAAATTTATCCCAGGTTTCATAATAAACTGATCCACATTTATCTTTTAATATCATTGTGAGCCTGTCCATTTCTGCACATGCTAATATTTTATGTATTAACTCTTCCTCTGTGGGAATTTCCTTGCTCTTCCATTTTTGCGCTGAAGCAAGCCTAGCTGCAGTCAGGATGTGTGAAGCTAACTAATTCTTTTGTTAAAAATTGCACTGAGCAAACTGAGGGTTACATTCTAGATGCACACATTGACCAATATGTTTTCCTAAAGCTTGTGTCTGGACATAAAAGATCTTCAAGCTGGGGAAGAAGTTATTCCTTCTCTAGTGCTGTTACCAGAGGATGCTTATTAGAAGATGAAAACCAGAATGTTAAAGCAGGTCTTCAAGCTACACTGCAGGTATTATATATGATACAAAAGAATAACTTTCTTAGTTTGTATAATATATTTTGTACTTGTTAATCTTACTTATAGATTACCATAATTAAACTGAAACTGAAATTTTGCTTTGGACAAAAGGAAATATATATTGCTTCTTTAGAACTGATAAACGCAAAACAAAAGACATATTTGATATTATCTTAATTGTAACTAGAATTATTCTGAATTTGGGATGGACTCCTGCAGCGGAACAAAAGTATAGAAAATCAAAATATTCAGAGACTATATTTGAGCTGCCAAAAATTAAAAGAAAATAGAAAAAAACACACAAATAGCTCCAGAAGTACTATAAAAGCAAAGAAGGCCCCAGAAATCTGAAGATCCATGATGAGCATCTATATTTTGTCCTCTTTCTGCTTCACATTCCTCAAAATACTCTCCCCTCCCCTCCAAAAAAATCAAAGGAACCAAGACCAAAAGGCTTCTGTGGTTTTTAAAAGATAAGCAGAAATCCTCTGTACACTCCAGGGTGTTCAATGCAGCCCATTTTGCTGCTGAAAATAATCCATGTTTGAGACAAGAAATTTTACACTCAAAACATTTTGAAAATGAACTGTTTAAAACCCCCAAATAATGATTGTTTTCTATATAACCTAAGATTGAGAATATCCGTGAGTCATTGCAACAACTGTCTCTCTGATTAAACTCTGTTATGGCTCTTCAATATTTTATTTGATCAAGGCCTATTCCCACGATCTTTACATTCTTTTTCAAGCATTCTCTTAACTTTTGCAAGACAGTCACGTGGTCACAGTTCACCTATGTAAAACTCTGTTCTATGAGAGTGTTCATAAGCCATCATTTTCAATTGTTTAACTGAAGGATGCGCTGGATCCAACTTGTTTTTTTTTTAAAAAAATGGCATCACTACTGGGTAGGTTAGCTTGCTAATCATCTTTATGTTGGTCTGCACAGAGATAATTATGTCTGTAATACATCTTCCTTTTTTACTGTCAACAGTTCTGTTCTCAGATCACTATGATAGTCTGAATTAAACAGAAAGGCACACACTAATCTTATTGAAGTTCTACAATGTTTTGAAATTTACTTTATACAGAGGGACAATCTAACTATATGAGCTTTCTAGAGTTACTGGGGTCACCAGAGACTTTTTATGATGAGGTTCGTTTGCGAATTGTGTTAATTTTCTAAATAAGATCATTTCCCTAAGGCAGGCATGTCAAACTCGTGACGTTGCATGACGTATCGCGACTTTTTCCCCATTTCTGGCAATGGGGTGGGCGCAGTTTCAGCTTGATGCATCTGGCCTGCGGGCTGGCAGTTTGACATGCCTGCCCTAACGTATAGTTTTTTTAAAAAAAGATATTTAATGCACATCTCCATAATATATCTATTCCAGGACTATATTTGCCCTCATTTCAATTCAGGACTGTCAGATTATTTTAATCTAAAACAATTCAGTGGGTAAATTACCATTTTTATTGAAAAGGAAAATACTAATATAAAATGGATTTATAATTCTCTAAACCAAAAATTATAAAAAATAGCAGAGTTATCTAACTATGTTATTTAATAGGTGCAAGGGACCTGCTCTTTATAGCTTTCAATATGAACTTATTGTAAGGGTGATATTCTGTTTGTGAATAGACTAACTTAATCCTAAATGTCGTGAAGAATATATTGTTCAAAATAACTTCAATAGATTCATATTCCTTCCTTCTCTCTCTCTCTCTCTCTCTCTCTCTCTCTCCCTTCCTCCCTCCCTCCTCTCTTTCCCTTCAAAACATATAGGTATTTTTGACAAACTCTGCAAACATATTTTTATTGGAACCATGCAGTGAAGCCCCTGAACTACTTAAAGAGCAGATAAATTCTTGCAGAGCAGTTTTGAGTATATATAGGCGCATGATAATGGAAGTTCCAATGAATAAAAAGACCTGGTATGTTTATCTGTAATGGAATGTGTGAATGACCTTGGGGAAAGAGGAGGAAATGGTGCCTAGGAAACAATCAGACAAGAGAGGCAGGAGCTGGCAGTCCCTTAATGACCGCAGGAAGAAATTTAGGAAAGACCTGCCCAGATAGTTAATAGTGGAGGCAGGAAGTTTCTGCTTTCAGATTTGCAAGATTCTGTTAATATAGCCTTACAGTAAAGTAGAATTAGTTCATCTTGTCCTGTTTCCTATCTGGTTTTCCTGGGAGGGCTGACTCTTGCCTCACTGGGTATATCTGAGTTATGAAGTTATGTTATAAGGAACCAATAGCATGTTACATTCTTTTGATGTCACTATCAGAAAGTTCAGCTGAAATGCTAAGTGTTTATTTGTAGCAATGTACAAGTATTTCTCCATTGTTTCCAATTGCATGCCCTGTGCATTACTACGTTACTATTATCTTATGATAGTAAGAAATCTTTATCTAGTTAATCCACTATATATACCTTTGTATATTATCTATGTTCAAAGTGGAATTCTAGAAATCAGCTAATGGGTAAGAATGAATGTCCAGACTTTCCACAAATCTGAGAAAACAGGCAGTGCATAACTTAGACACCTTTTAATTCTGAGAACACAGATGTGAATATTCCACTGATAATTTGGTTCTGCTTTATAGAAAAAAAGCATCTTGTTGTAACGCAGGATTATTTGAAATACATGTTTTTTATGACTGAATAAATGTAATGTAGATAAAATACTGTCAATTATTACCACTTTCATTTTAATTTATATTGTGTCTTTCTGCCCATAAGGACAAATACAATATTATTTTAACTTAAGACTATTTCATATTAAATATAATTGTGATATCAATATTGTGATCTTTCCAAACCATAGGGAAATGAATGAAAAACTTCCATGATGGATTATATTTGTTTTCAGGACTTAGTTTTTAGGACATTATTTTTAAAAAATCAAAATATAGTCGAAATCATTGTCCTTGATTGAGATGGGTGGTTATAGAAATTGAATAAATAAAAAATAAAACTATAATGTTAATAAAAATAATTTGCTCAATAATTATACTTTGTCTTATAAAATGTTTTATTACGTGGTTTAGATAAGACCTGATTTGAAATGCTAAATATTGCATTTACATATATTTAAATATATGTAAATATATTTAAAATAAAGCAAATGTTTTATAATGTGATTTGAAAATCACAGTAGTAACAGATAGGGCATATTAGAGTGAGACAACTTTTGATTTATCCATATAAATAGTCTACCAAGTTCTGTCCCTTTGCATTCTAAACCTCTATGCAGCCTTCTTCTGGCCAGTACTGACAGATAAATAAGATAAAGAAGCCATGAACTAAGGGTGGTTAGCATGTTCCTTACTGAAGACTTTAGGTTTACTTTTTTTTTCTTTTTAATTTCCGAGTACTATGATGATGTCATTGGAGGAGTGGGATGAAATTCTAATTTCTTATTGCTTGAGGATAGTCCTTTTTCCTTTTTTAAAAAGCTTCTTTAAAAAGACTTCAAAGGGTCTGAACCCTACAGAAGGCATAATATACTTTTGGCCTTAAGTTTCACTTCTGACATTCAGCAACTGCTGGCTCAGGAATTCTGGGAGTTGAAGTCCATGAGTCATAAAAGAGCCAAGGTTGCCTACCCCTGACCTAGGTGTCTCTATTGTATTTCAGTTGAAATCTTTTTTAATGTTGAATCTAAATGATTTTTACGATTTCTGTCCTTAACAAAAACAGATTTCTTAATCTTTCCATAAAGGGATCATTATGTTTTCCTTTATTAGTAAAATGATTACATGTCATAATGGAAATATTTTAAATACAAGATCATACAGCTTCTCTAACTTGGGTGCTGTCCAGACTTTACCTCCTAGAATTCCCAGCTGGCATTGCCATTACTATGAATTCTGAAAGATAAAAACCTCACTTACTAACAATAATTGGGACTGGAAACACTGTCATTAAGTAATACTGTAATAGGTCAAGAAAACATATGACTGTGCCGCTTAGTGGCAGCAATTCCTACAGTTCAGGTTGCCATGTAGTTAAGCAAGGACCACACAGGTCACTAAGCGAGGAGCTCATGTAACCAAAATTTTCAATTTATTTGTGGGAACTGGCAAGAAAAATTGCAAATTGTGATTCCCATGATTGTGGAACACTGTGCTGGGTATAAGTACAAGGTCCACTTGTAAGTACCACTCCTTCAGTGCCATTGTAAGTTTGAATGGTTGCCAAACCAAGACCACCTATATTTAGGATGATAACTTGGGGAAACCTGGGGTAAAATATTATTTGAGGTTATGCACACAGAAAATGGGTAGTAAGAAATACTTGAAATGCTTGTGATAATATTTTTCTGCTGGTATTGAACATAATTATATGTGTTTTCCACATGTGTCTGAATGAAAGATTAATTACGCTGCTTCAAGAGTTGCACTAATTTTTAGGAGCAAGCTCCTTAAAACAACAGGAACTTTTTTCAAGTTTGTACTGATGTCTCAAAACAAGGCAGGCTCCTTTAATGAATAGTAAAGGCATATTGTGTTTATACAAGGCCCAAATCCCTTTTTAGTACAGATAGTCTTCAACTTTTGACCACAGTTGTACCCAAAATTTCCATTGTTAAGCGAGACATTCATTAAGTGAGTTTTGCTCCATTTTACAACCCCCCTTGCCACAGTTGTTAAGTGAGTCACTGCAGTTGATAAGTTAGTAATCTGATTGTTAAGTGAATCTGGCTTCCCCATTATCTTTGCTTGTCAGAAGTTCACAAAAGGAGTATCTGAATTCTGATCATGATACTGCAAAGCTCACAACTGTGAAAAATGGTCATTTTAGTGATGTAACATCACTAAACAACTGTTGTCAGTCAAGGACTACCTGAACTCATTATTAAAGTATACACAATCCTAATAGAGAAGGTATTTGCTTCTCTTACTTTGTGACTTTTTCTGCGCTGTTAGAAGTACCTGTGTTGGTAGTGTCAACATTATTATGAGAGAATGTTAAGATAAATACCATTAGCAAATTTCTACATTTTTCATATGTAAACTATATATTTTTATTTTTATCCTAGGGAGCATATGTTGCAAATGCTTCTTAGCATAACAGAAGCTGTCATGAGCAACTCCAAAGATGATCAGATAAAGGATGCATTTGGTCAAAGTTTAGCAGGCTTACTATTTCGGGTATGTCTCATTTTTTTGTAGAGCAATTTAAACATTGTTTTGAAGTGCTGTAGTTAATTAATTAAATTTATACATTGCCTGAGTCCCAGCTACACAGAAAATAATTGTGTTGCAGAGTTACGATATTTTATAGCACGATATAGCAAGTTCATGTATTTGTCATACATTAGAAGCATACAAATGACAAAAACATAAAAATGTTGGTAATATATGAGGTTCATTATTTAATATAGGTATTCCTTGCTTAATGACCACAATTGGGATTGGAATCTCATTTGTTGAGTGAAGCGGGCATTAAGTGATATGTCACATGACTGCCCACATGACAACTTTGCTCAAAGACTGCAGTCCCAGAACTCAGAGTTGTGGTTGTTAAGTGGAGGGTGTCCCATATCAGGGATGCAGGGTACTTCTGGGGGGCTCCACTCAGAAGGTGAAAAGGCTCCTTATCAAAGTGCAAGGACAATTTTCAGTCCATGAGCAAAGAGACACTTCTGTATGGCCTGTGCCAGGCATCTCAGGACCTCTCCCACCTGCCCAAGGCATCCCACCCTCTTAGCTTATTATGCTTCCTCTCTGCTCAGGAGCTGAAAATCCTTCTTGGATCTTGCCTCCTTTTCATCTCTAGGGACTTGCTAATAGAGTTTCAATAGACTTGCTAATCAGTTTCAATAGAGCTGTGTATTGAAACTGATTTCAAACAGAACAGAGCTGGAAGGGACCTTGGAGGTCTTCTAGTCCCAACCCTTGCTCAAGCAGGAGACCCTATACAATTTCAGATAGGTAGCTGTCCAGTCTTTCCTTAAAAACCTCCAGTGATCAAGCCCCTACAACTTCTGAAGGCAAGCTGTTCCACTGGTTAATTGTCCTCACAGTTAGGAAGTTTCTCCTTAATTCCAGGTTGCTTCTCTCCTTGATTAGTTTCCATTCATTGTTTCTTGTCTTGCCTTCTGGTCCTTTGGAAAATAAGTTGACCCCCTCTTCTTTGTGGCAGCCCCTCAGATACTGGAATACTGCTATCATGTCAACCCCTAGTTCTCTAGACTGACCATACCCAGTTCCTGCAACCGTTCTTCATATGTTTTTGTCTCCAGGCCTTTAACCATCTTAGTTGCTCTTCTTTGCACTTTTTTTTTCAAAGTCTTAACATCTTTTTTGTAATGTGGCGACCAAAACTGGATGCAGTATTCCAGGTGTGGTCTTACTAAGCTTTATAAAGCGGTACTAATACTTCACGTTTTTGATTCTATGCCTCTGTTTATACAACCCAAGATTCTATTAACTTTTTGATTGCTGCCACACACTGCTGGCTCATGTTTAAGTGATTGTCCACTAGGACTCCAAGATCCCTCTCACAGTTATTGTTTTTGAGTCTGTTTTTTGCCTACTCTGTACTTGTGCCTTTAGTTTTTCCTGCCTAGGCATAAAACCTTGCTTTTCTCCACATTAAATTTCATGTTGTTGGATAGGGACCATTGTTTAAGTCTGTCAAGATCTTTTTGGATCCTGAACTTGCCTTCTGGGGTGTTGACTATTCCTGCCAGCTTAATATCATCTGCAAAATTGATGAGTTCCTCTTCTATTTCCTCATGTAAGTCATTTATGAAGATACTGAAGAGTACTGGCCTTAAGATGGAACCTGGTAGATATAGTACCATTAAGGACTACTCATTGAGTATGGTTTGTCAGCCAGTTACAAATCCATCTGGTGGTGATGCTGTCTATCCCACATTTTTCTAGGTTATCAACAAGTAGGTTGTGGTCTACAATATTGAATGCCTTGCTAAAGTCTAAGTGTACTATGTCCACAGTATTTCACTGGTCTACTAATTAATCACTTTTTCAAAGAATGAAATAAGATTGGTTTGGCACGATCTGTTTTTAACAAACCCGTGCTGGCTACTAGTTATAACTTTATTTGTTTCTAGATGTTCACATATCTGTTTTTTGAATATTTTTTCCAGTATCTTTATAAGTACTGATGTTAGTCTGTAGTTTCCTAGATCTGTTTTTTTTTTTCATTTTTTGAAGATGGAACCACCATTTCAGTAATGGCAACTATATCACATCTGCCTTCAAGTTGAACTTGAACTTCAAGTTCACCCTGTTTGTTCCCTGTTTGTTCCCTGAACTTTGAGGGTTAATGTACAGGCAATGGGGTCCTTTATGTGTCTTGGGTAGATTTTTTATATCTCCTATTTTGTAACTGAGATTTCCATCCTTTCCATCACTTTCTACTTCATTATGTTTCCCTTTTTTATTTCTTCTTTCTCTTTACTCCCTACCTCTAGTATTAGGTTCTAAAGGTTGTGAAAATTGCCCTCCCCCATTTTAACTTGCAATTAATAGATTTGGAAACAGAATCAAATAGCTTTTAAAAATAAAAAAATACTTTTAATGTTGTTTACTAGGGAAAAGATAATAAAAATATTGTTTATTTAAAATGACGTTTAACTAGTAATCAACAATTTCAGAATACAGATAAGTTGGATGTTTTGCTATACTTAATTACTCATATTGCATAATTCATGTAGAAGACAAAACATTTAAAACATTTTAAATCTAAAAAAATTAATACAAAATAATAGGAATCTGTTATGTGTTTGCATGGAATACTTTTGTGGTTTTCCTAGATACAATGTATTATACAGTATTCCATAATGTGGAATAATGCATCTACCTTGAACAATTCGGTATAAATGTATTTATCCTTTCCTTTCTTTAGAAATATGTACAGATAATCCTCAACTTAAAACTACAATTGAGTCCAAGATTTTCATTGCTAAGCAAGACAGATGTTAAATGATTTTTACCCCATTTTATGTATGACCTTTCTCCCACAGTTGTTAAGTGAATCACTGCAGCTATTATATTAGTAAGCTTCCCCATTCACTTCGCGTCTCAGAAGGCCACAAAGGTGATCTTGGAACACTGCAACTGTGATAAATGCCAAACATCTAAATTTTGATTATGTGACTGTGGGGAAATGCTGCAGCAGTCATAAGTGTGAAAACTGTCATAAGCACTTTTTTAAGTGCCATTGTAACGTTGAACGGTCACTAAATGACTGGTTGTAAGTCAAGAATTACCTAAAAATCAGTTCATTTGAATTTCGTTTATTTGAAGATGAGAATCCAACCTGTTCTCCATTCTTCCTTGTCTTTTAACCACAGACTCTCATTGTGGCTTGGATCCGAGCAAATTTGAGTGTTTACATTTCTCGCGAGCTCTGGGACGAGTTGCTACGTGTGCTGTCATCCCTTACAGATTGGGAAGAACTAATAATGGAATGGGCTAATATAATGGATTCTTTAACATCTGTTTTAGCAAGAACAGTATATGGTGTTGAAATGACCAACTTGCCACTAGATAAGCTAAGTGAACAAAAAGAGAAAATACAAAAAGGAAGAGGTAAATGATAAGCAAATGATTGTATTGAAATTATCTGTATGAAACAAGAAAAATAATAAATGCTAAAAAACAAATATTATACTTAATGCAATTTTAAAGCTTATTCTAAATATATAAAGTGCTATTGTTTGAAAGGTCATGCAAGGAGATCATGTGTTTACATGAAGCCTCTGTATACTGATTTTCCCTAAAAAGTACCTATTCAATGGAATTTGACATTCTCCAACATGTATAAGCAGTTTATTTCTTGTGATTAAATTCAGAAGCAGATAATACTTTATTTCAATTCAAATCCCAGTGGAAATCTAAGAAATGTTTATTAGTTATTTATTTGCATAATTCTGGAATGATAAACTGTTCAAAAAAATTCCTATCCTTGGATCTAGCAGTGTCATTTGAAATATTCTAGTGTATGAAAAACAATGAGATATGAGATGAAAAGATATCTGTTTAACCTTATAGGGTATAAATGTTATTAAATTTATTTATAGTTGTGATGAAGGTTGGAAGTCACTTCTTTATATATTTATTTTATATCCTTTCTTTTTTCTTCTTCCTTTTTTCTCTGCCTATTCCATTATTTTTATTCTCTTTCCCTAAATTTGGTTTCTATTAATATAACTACAATCCCTACTAATTATTTCTTTAAAAAGAAATATTCTAATGCATGAAAAATGTAGAGAAGTGAATAAACAACACTGTAATTTCCATAAATATATTTATTAGATGTATTTATTGTTTTTATAATTCTGAGATACTTTGATGTTTACAAGTTATTTGGGGATATTATACAACATGAATTAGCAGTTCTACATTTAGAACATAGAATAATAGGGTTGGAAGTGACTTGGGAGGTCTTCTAGGACAGTTGAAGCAAGAGACCCTATACCATTCCAGACAAATGGCTGTCCAGTCTCTTCTTGAAAACCCCCAGTGATGGAGTACACAACTTCTGGCAGTGAGCTGTTATCACTGTCAGGAAATTTTGCCTTAATTCTAGGATCTTCCACATGTTTAGTTGTTCTCCTCCACTCAGTTGTTTTGGAGAATAAGTTGATTCCATCTTCTCTATGACAGCCTCTCAAGTCCTAGAAGTCTGCTTTCATATTATCCCTGGTCCTTTTCTTTGTTAGACTAGATATACCAAGTTCTCTCAATCCATCATATGGTTTTAGCCTCCAGACCCCTTATCATCTGTTTTGTTATTCAAGAGTGTCAACACCTTTCTTGTATCGTGGTGACCAGAATTGGATGCAGTATTCCAAGTGTGATCTCACCCATGCAGTATAAAGCATCACTAACACGTCACATGATCTTGAAACTATCCCTCTGTTGATGCAACCTAGGATTTCATTAGCTTTTTTGGCAGCTGCAGCACACTGCTGGCTCATATTTAAGTAAGAAGCTGCTTATGCACCCAGAGTGTAATTGAGACTGTTGGTGTGAAAGCAACATAGCAAGCTGCAAAATGCCACTGCCAGAACAGTTTACCTTTAGGCATTTTGTTTTGACTGGGACTTTGAGTTTAGGTTTAAACTACTGAAGCGCTAAAGAGGTGATTATTGTTTTCAAACGATGCCCCAGGATGCTCATGGGACTGAGTAGAATGAACTTTAGCAAGTTCTCTACACTTTTGGAAAGTCCGGTGTTTGCCTTCTGTTGCTCTCTAGCCAACTCCCCACTTCTTTGTCTGCCAGGGTCTCTGCCACAACAACTGTAGACCGTTTCCTCCTTTCCGGTATTTAAATCTCACAAATGCAGCCCATCTGTAAAAAAAATGTGGGAATTGATAGGGATGAGCTGGTCAAATAAAGGAGGGAGACTTCAATTTCAAGGTCACTGGTAGATCTGGCAAAGACTTCTATAACAGCTCTCTAATGCAGAAACAGCACAGCACTGTGTGTTGCAAGCTTAGGTTGTTGTTTTTTCAGACTATACTCCTAAGTGCATGAGATCTTTTCATTCACTATTTGTAACTCTTGATGTGGGGAGTTACTCCAGACCTCTTACATTTGTTGCTTCTCTCTGCTTTCTTGGATCTGAACATCCAGAAATGGATGTAGTAGTCATTGTGTGGTCTCACCAGTGCAGTATAAAGTGGTATTATCATTTCATCTGATCTGGAAACTATTCCTCTGTTGATGCATCCTAGGACTACATTAGCTTTTTTGGCAACTGAAGCACACTGCTGGATCATACTTAATTGGTGGTCTATTGGGATACCTCTCACAGCTGCTACTGTTGAGCCAGGTACCTATTCTATATCAGTGCATTGTTGTTTTCTTGCCTATGTGTAGGCAAAGGTCTGCTTTGGTTTAGATACTGGCTCTCTATTCTTATATACACTTCTTGCTTTTACTGACCATGGTTAGCTATTAACTACTTGCTTCAGCAGGTTCTTACAAAAACTCATTTATTGGGGAAGTTTCCAATAGGTAATGTTCATTATCTAATAATTCCTTAACTGCATTCCTGAAATCAGAATTGGTTTAAGTTTTGGTGCTAGAAATCATTTTAAATTATTTAAATGACAACTCCACTTTAGACCCTTGTATTGGAGATTAATCAATTGGTTAACTGTTCTTTTTAATTAGATTTTTATTTACAATCTGATCTTCTTGAATTCTCTAAGTGCATTAAGATTAAATTTGCTGTACATTCCATTATTGAAAGGTGGCATTTTAGAATCTCAAAAAGGAGCTGCAGTTGGAAGATCGTTTTCTTTAAGCTGGAGAGATCATCCTGACGTTACAGAACCAATGAGATTTAGGAGTGCTACCACCTCAGGAGTACCGGGAATTGAGAAAACAAGGAATACAGTGCGTCAGAGAACAACAGGTTAGAAAATAAAATAATAAAATGTCTAATAATAAAAATGTCAGCAGTTTTTTTTAATTAATTTCTAACATTTCATATTTCCTTTGATTTGTTGAGTTGCTTTTTAAACAATCTGGTTTTTGTTGTGGTTTCTATACAATTCTGCATATGGATTGTTTTCATTGCCCTAGGATTCTTCTAAAGATCTGGCAACCCTCCCCTTGGCTGAGAATTTGTATGTGAACCAAATATTAGAGTGAGTGTTTCTGGTCCAGTTAGTATAAGACACTTAACTTGGATGTGGGTAGAGAGGGGAACTTTCCGTTTTGGTTATTCATTGTTAATTATATAGAATTAATATGTAAATTAAGCATTTTTAAATTGTAAGATGGTAGAACATAGTGGCTGGGATTGCAAACTAATTGAGATTTCACACATTTATGTCTAAAAATAGTTGGATCATCATTTATATGATCATCATGTCATAATTTGGCAGCACATACTTGGTTTTTGATTCTGGAAGGTTGCATTGCATTGATTGAAACAACATTTGAAACTCTTATACCAGTGATGGCAAACCTTTTAGAGACCGAGTGCCCAAAAACTGCCCAGCCCGCTCTCCACCCCTGCCCCGTCCACAGGGCCACTCATCGCCTCCATGGCCCACTGCAGCAGATCGCCTAGGTGGCCTTGCAGTGCTGTGGCAGCGACACCCTACGCCCTCACCCCACAGCATCATCTGCACACGATGGGGTGCAAGGGCGGAGTCTTGTCACTGCTGCCCAGGTGCCATGTCCTTGGCTGCGCTGCTCTGCACAGGCTTTGCCTGGGGGAGACTTCTCTGGAAGGGCTGCTGGTGAGGAGGCTGCGGGGGGAGGCGGGGCTGGAGCAATGGTGTGCGTGCCCGCAGAGAGGGCTCTGAGTGCCGCCTCTGGCACATATGCCATAGGTTCGCCACCACTGTCTTATACGGTTCTTTCTGTAGTTACTGTATATGTGTGCACATGTTTTCAAGTATTTAATCGGGTTCTTTAATTTTATGGAAGATTCAAAGGTTATATTTGTATAATGTAAAGGCCCTAGCTATTAAATTGCAAGATTATTGTGACTGGCAGGTTCGATATTATTATAAGTTATATAGTTTGAAATACTTGTAGCTCTAAGAGTAAAAACAAAATTCTTGTAAAATCTGTAACAAATATTTTTGCATTCTTTCGGTGTTCAAAAATGCTTGTAATTTTTCATCAACTTTGGAAGTTTGATTAGTAACATGACCTCTACTGTAAAAAATATTCCTCTGATTGCCTCTCAGTTTCTTTTACTGCCTTTCTGGGGTTCCTAGTAAGACATTTTCATCTCCATTTTTGGGAAGGGGGGGCTTTACTTTTCTTCATTCATCTTTGCTAATTAAATCATGGCTTGTTTTAATCATGGTTTCTTGAAAAATCCAGGGTTAGTCTCAACAGAGAACTCATGGTTTAGTTGGCCTCTTCCTAGTTGTATCTTTGTAGTCTGTTTGTCACACATGGATGAAACACTCCAAAAGCTTTTAAAATAGGAAAGGACTTTTGCCAGGAAGTTCATGCTTCATAAGGACTTATGTTGCCTACTCATAAAATCCAGATACTTCTCATAAATTCTTGCAAAGATTTTTATATTTGTAATGGATGTATGGTCTATAGCAGGGGTCCCCCAACCCCCTAGCCGCAGATCGGAACAAGTCCATTGCCTGCTAGGAATCAGACCACGCAAGCAGCAGGCGAGTGAGTGAAGCTTTTTAAAAGTTTTTAAAATTGTTGGTTGCCTTCGGATGAACTGCATCTATTGTTTCAACTATTCAAAATGCTGTACACTGTTCAGTTCTGTCTTATTTCCCTATTTTAGTTATAGACACTTATAGTTAGATGAGGTTGATTTTTATAAATCATCATGAAGTGTTTTGGTTTTTTTTTCAGTTTCAGAATAACAGCTTTATATTGAAAAGATGATACCCCTACTCTTTTAGTAGGCTTAATTTCCCTCTGTAGTTACTCCTGGCTCCATTCTGTAGGATTTTGGAGTAAGGTAAGACAAGAACTTAGCATCTCCCATATCGGTGTGCAGAAACTTTGTACCTTGGAAAAGGTACGCAGTTGAAAAATATTACTAAGCAGAGGAAATTAGTTCTATTATCAACCATCTGTGTACAAATCTTAGTTGTGAGACTTGTCTAGGAGCAAATTCTTTTCTTGTTCTCCACCATGATAAAGAACTTACCATTTATTGCTTAGCTTGGAAAACTATTGTATCAGATTCATGGTTCTTTACTATTGCCTCCTTTAGCTATGCTACAGGTAGTTAACTGCACATTTAGTGACAGTTCAAACTTGCAATAGCACTGAATGAATGGTGCTTGCAATCAGTTCTCAGAGTTTCAGCTGCTGCAAGACTCCACATTCACATGATCGCAATCCTGGCACCTGGCTTGCAATTATAATGTCACATTTTGCCCAGGACTGACCTTTTTTTGGGCTGGCTTCAAACAAGCAAAGGTAATGAGGAAACCAGCAAGAGGTTGCAAATGGCAACCATGTAATGTTTCACTTAACGATGGAAACCAGAAATGCTAGAATTGTTTATCACTAAGCGGGACATTCACATGGCACGTTGCTTTATGGCCACCGTGCTGTGTAACATACATTGTTTAAGCTTTTTCAGATGAGATTGATGCCTCTGCCACTGGATAACATTTGTAACTATCTGCCTCTTAGGGTCTGGCAACAAGAAGATTGATTGGATGGGACTGCATCTGTTAGTAGCAAGGACAATATTTAATTTGTGAGAAACTCCCTTTATTTATCTTTTCCCATTCACTCAGAATATTTTTGTCAGCATTTCTGCATTAGGGAAGGAACCCAGAGCAGAAAGAGTTCTGTGAGAGTTTATTTTCTTATAGTTAGTGAAAAAGTGGACCTTCCAAAACAAAAAGGAGCTAGTTAATTAATTCATTTCATACAATGGGAATGAGAGACAATGTTTTGAATATGCTTTCTACATATAGTGTTTGCTCTTGACTTACAGCACTTACTTAAATTCCTTGACTAGATAGATACAGTGGTATTCCATGCTGAATGCTGCTTACTGTCAAACCTGCTGAAAAAATATTTTAAAGTAGCAACAGCAATGGATGAATCATGAACAACCAACAGTAACTATGCGCTTAACCAACTACTGACTTGAATTTTGCACAGTGCATTTTTTTGTCCAACATGCAAAGCTTGTCAAGCAACATCACAACAGTTCTTGCATTCACCAGTCTAAAGGCTCAGCTGTGCAGCCTTCATTTCACATTACTACTGTATGTGCACAGGTAGTCCTCAATTTGCAAGCACAGTTGGGATTGGCACTTCCATCTCTAAGCGATGTGTTTTTTAAATGAGTTGCAACTGATCTTACAACCATTTTGTTGCGGTTGTTAAGTTAATCATGCTATCTTTAAATGAATCCAACTTTCTCCATTGGCTTTGCCAGCACTATCATAAATTTGAACAGTTGTTCAGAAAATGGTTGTACGTGCTTTTTTGGCTTTGGCAACATTTCTTTGAAAATGAAAGCACATGGGTACGTGTAGGAATAATATATTAGAATTATATAATTAGCATTATTTCTTCATAGCAATTGTTTTTAAGAAATGCAGCCTCTTTGTTATATCCAAAATGGTTGTCAGTCCATTAACATGGGTTTAATTGGCTCTCCCCTCAGCCTGTTTTCTTTCTGTCCTTCAGCTAGCTTCAATGGGTAGAATCAAGACTGAATTAGTGCTTGCTATTTTATTGGATAATGAATATCTTAGGACAATTCATTCCTTTAAAAAAACAAAGAATTTTGGAACACTGAAAAACTTGAACTAATAAGGATCAAAATTCCCAACATTGTTCTGTGTCCAGAATACTTAAAACTGCCATTTAAAATCTAATAATTCTGCACCATTTCCAGTGCAGTTTTTAGGCTCTGGCAAAGATAAATTAAAGATTGTTGTTATTTCGGTTTGTCAGCCAGGTGTTTAGATTGGATTTGGCATTTTTAACCATCTATCGCAAGGGTATCGAACTGCTGGCCCGTGGGCCGGTTGCATCATACAGATGCCGTGCCCACCCTAGCTCCGGCAATGCAAAAAAAGTTGTGATAGAGCGTGACAAGTAACATGACACACCAAGTTTGACACCCATGACCTATCGAGTCCTTCCCAAGAACCTGGCATAGGCAGATGTTGTTTTTGATGGATTTGTTTGTTGCAAAGTCAGCCAAATGTTTAGACTCAAATTGGCATTTTTATGCATCCTTCTCAAGAACCTGGGAGAGGCAGATTGTTTGATGGTGTTAAAGATATTATTGCATGATGTAAGCTGTTCCAAGTAAAACTGCCTTTTGTAATTGACTGATAGTGATTTTGTCAATGCTGATATCACCATGGTGTGATATCCTCACTTTTTTTTTGCCACAACTGTTCGGTTGCCATCTTCTCACAGATTCCTAGATGATGATGTGGCCATTTTCTCTACAGTAATCCAGTGTGTAAGCATAAGACGTGCTTTTTATGGAATCAGTAACACAGAGAAATAAGATTGATGAGCAACATTAATGCTGCAGGAGTTCCAAAAGCAAGATTGTCTTTCTGTCCTCTTGTTCTTTTTCTAATAAACTGGGTTTCTAAAAAAAAAAAAATCTTGAATATTGGATAACCTTACAGACAGATACACTTTACTGAATTTCTTCTGTATTGGTTTTTACCTTAATGAATTGTATATGCACAGCATTCATGTTTATGAAATTCTAAACCTGTTATTTTCTGTTTTATGTGGAAAAACATCATCCTGTTAAGTAAAATAAAATTACTCTTTTACTTCTATTAATTTATTTTTCCCTATAAGCGAAGCGAAGTCGGTCTATCAACAACTGTGCTCGTCTCTGTGAGGCTTTGCCAGCCGCTAAAAGTGCGCCTCTTCTCCTCCATACTGTGAGCTCTCTCTTGCCTGATATCTCTTACACTTCTTATTCTTGGGCTTTTGCAGGTATGGTATTATACAATTTAGCAAAATTGCGCTCTGCTTTATTTCACCCTATATCTTACATACAGCATCCTAAATATTACATAATATTGTATTTTGATTGAAAACATGGATGTTTTTCCAAGTATGTCAGAAAGTAAGCATTAATCATCTGAAATCTTGTTTAGATAAAGCAGCTTCAGATTCCCAAGTTGCTTTGAGACGGAAACCAAAATCTTTTCTAGATATATATGCCAATTTCCCTTGAACAATGCTCACTTTTCAGTGAATATATACACATATATGTTTTCTGAGGTTTTCGCGGGTGTTTGTATGTAGGTCTTTGGTTGTTCGGGTTTTCTCCCGCGTAAAATTGGAAGTGTCTTGGCGACGTTTCGTTGCTGCTCGAAGCACGAAGCTGAAAACACCAGCCTGAAGATGACGAATGGGACTTCGTCGAAACGTCGCCAAGACACTTCCAATTTTACATGGGAAAAAACCCAAACAACCAAAGACCTACATACACATATATGTATATACACTTATACACAGTACATTCTTTTATACTGTGAAAGACTAGTTGTTTACTTTTAAATATAACAGTTTCTTAGACTTCTACAGCATTCTCAAGTTGTCAATAATCATTGGGAAGTACAGTTTGAATGGGATAAATCCTATCACCACCTATTCTTGACATCCCCAGTTTCTGTCTATGTAGCTAAATCAGCAGCTGGTTTTTCCCAGCTCACAGGAGATCATATCATGGGCACACATCTATTCCAATTCCCTTGTATGTTTAGATTTCTTTTTCCAATTTAGCCAACTGTATTTGAGAAAATGAGGAAAGAGAATCAACCATGATTCTAGTTCCTAATCTTGATACAAATTTCTATAGAATTGGAGTAGGATGGATAGCCTGCTAAGAGAATGCTGGCAATGTCCACTGATGAACCCATGGTTGTCAACCGAAGGTCAGTCATCTTACCGAGATGAATTTATTTTAAGAGGAAGGGCAAATGGGAAATGCGCATACTTTATTTGTTCTGTTTTTTTTGGAGGCAAGTCTTCATTGTAAGGTTTCCAAGCTCTACCACAAACAGCAACCTAATGCTACCAGAGATCTATCAAAAGAATGTTGATATTGTAAGTCCTCTTTGTACCCTCAAGTTCCGCTTCCATTGTTAAATCATCCAGCCCATGCTGCCATCTCCACTGTCTGTCCTCTTTTCAGGGATGCTGCCTGCTACTCGACTCAAGAGTGCTTGTATTAGAATGACGTGGCAGAAGCACTGAGTTCATTGATGTGATTTTATTTTTCCATTCCTACCTTCCCCTTTAGAAATGCTGCTGTTCAACAGAAGAGCTGCCAAGGCCATTATTGCCTCTTCCACTCTTGTCATAGATGGAGAGGCTGTGAGACTGTCCTGCTCTTCCTGTGCACTGATAGTTACAAACCAACTAGAATGCAGCAGGTCTGCTAGGATTCTTGTCTTTCCCAGATTGGTACAGCTTTCACACACAGCTACAAGTGCCAGGTGTTCCCATTTAAATTGACAGGTATTGGAAGCATGACAACAGTAACAGGAATCATGTTTTTGAGCCTAATCACTACAAATCATTTTCCCAAGGAAAAATTTATTAAATAATTTACAACTCACATTTTGTTTCAAAAAATATGAAAAAAATGGACTTAAGCTGGTTTCACAAATCAGCTTGTTCATTTATCCACATAACATTTTGACATCTGCTGAATTCAAAATATATTTTTTGTTAAGAAATGTTCCTTCTTATCTTGAAGTCCAGAATTAATGCATTTCCCCAAAAACTCAGGTCTCTGGCTTTTAAAACTGCACATAGTAAGATACAATGCTACACTGAAATATTAGGTGTGAATATTTCAAGAGGAAAGCAGATGTACTCATACTTATTTCTGTGGAAATATAATTAAACAGAGATATTAAACCAATGCAAAAATAAATTTGTAACTAAATAGGCTAAGTAAAAATGAAAAATTGGAGGTCAATGTTATATTACAATTTTATATATCAGTTTAATGTATTTTTATGTACTTTCACTTGATGGGTAAAGTAAATCATAGATACCACAGCAAAGAACAGGTTACAATGTATTAGTGTAGAATTCAATTAGATAGTACTTTTAAGTGCGCTACTTTATAAAAGTGGCCAATAGGGTTATTTTGAATTATGGATAGCTCTGGGTAATATTGAGACATACTCTGTCTATATTGTCATGGTAGCATAACTTTTAGTTCATATCCCAGACAATCAAATATATGCCGGGAGCAGTTTGTCAGCCTTTATTTTTCCATTATGATATTCCAGCTATTCTTATAGTAAATAGCCAGACTGTACTTCCAATCACATACAGGAATATCAGATTCATAATTAAAAATGTTTCTATATCAATCAATGGACAAGTATTGTCTGCACACAAATTTAAAACATGATATATATATATTTTAAAAAAGGTAAATGAATCAAAAGCTGATATTTGAAATTTCTTTACAGTTACCATATTTCTTACATGAGGGAATTCATTTTGTTGGGGAAAAAAATCTTGCTGAGAAGAAACTGTTCTGATAAGTTCTTAATCCTTCTACATATCCCTTCATACTTCAGATCATAGCACATTCCCATCATAAGTCAATAGTACAAAGGGTTAAGCTGTATTTTATGTTTACGTTGTGTTAAGTGACAATGTTTTATATGTTAACTGATAATAAGGATGTAAATATTTTAATAAGTTAAAGACCTTTATTAAAATGGATATGGACATTTTAAAAATGTAATTGATGAAACCTTTGTATCAATCCCTATAGAAAGTGAACAACGTGAACTATCAGAAAATGGATCAGGAATTATTAATCAGCAACCGGTAAACTTATTGAGAGCAGAATATAACAGTCCTTTTTCAGATCAGGATCAATTAACTCGAAGCAGTAGTACCTCTGATATTAGAGAACAATGCAGTTCTGATATTTTCCAAGGTAATCTAGAAATACTTTGAGAAAGAATTGTTTTCATATGCAACCGCTATATGTAACAACATCTGAAACACTATTCATACCATGTGCTAAATTTATTTACTATGCCGTTTTCTGTCTTCTAGTATTTATAGCTCTGTCCAAGCATTTTAAAATACAACAACTCATTATTAATTTTTATAATAACAGTGGTTTAAAAGTTCATTTTTACATGTATACTTCAGTAAGTCTGATAGCAGTTTTTAATTATAGCCCATTTATGTAAAACATACACTAACATTGTAGCAAAAAAAAAAAAAAAAGCCCAGTCAGTTCAGTAGAATTTATTGAGATGAATCAGGTCATTCATATTTAAACAGCTTTTCTTGTTAGAGCAGAAATGTCTCAGTTTACAGGCAACAACCCCAGATATATAAAGAACAAAACAAATCAAATCTTTATTACAATTATAAACCAGCATATATATATATATATATATACATATAAATTATTAGGTTTTTATCTCACATTTTTTATCTCCTGTATAACTGAGGGTGGCAAACAACCCTATGAGATGGATTGGGCTGAAAGAGTGTGTCTGATCCAAAGTTACCCAGTTGGCTTTCCTGCCTCAGGGTGGATTAGAACTCATAGCCTTCTTGTTTCTAGGACAGCGCCTTCACCACTACACCAAACTGACTCTGTGAAAAGGATGCAAAAACAGAAGGAACATTTTAGTCAGCCATGTTATAAATGGCTTTTTATAAATCAGCATCCTTTGTATGTAACAGGTTTGCGGTCATTTGGAAACCGTTACACAAGATCTCAATATTTTAGGTAGTTTTAGATAATATTTTCGAACCACCAGAAGACAACAACTGTAGTGTTTCAAAGCCAGCTCTTTTCCTAAATACTTAATGTGATTTTGCAGTTTGCAATGTAACTAACCTCAGTTAGTTACCTGATTTCAACATATTAATTTTTGCCATTTATTAAAAAAAAACTTTAAAAAACAGTACACCGTATTTTATTTATGATCATTAATATATTCAATAATTATAAATAATATGTTTAATAATGCTTACATGAATTTAATAATTGTGTAAATGTAAATATGCATGTATATATATATTCATAACTTATAAAATTGTATATTTGAAATAATAAACATATTCAAATCAATTGGTTAATTTTGTAATCCATAACATTTCACTCATACTTCACAGTTAGAAAAACAGAGAGTTCACAAAATTTAACTGCAGGATCCAGATCTATTCAAAAAAGTAAGGAGACCATGAACAAGGAAAGTACACTACAAGAAGTAAGTACAAATAAATAGGATCACAATGTATATTAAAATAAAACATATGTCTAAACTTCATTTTATTAAAATAATGTATTCTTATGTTATGTTTTATGGTAACAATTGACAATGTAAAGAATGGAAACATGTTGTGAAAAAATGTAGAACTAAGAGAAATATAGACTTTTTTTTACATTTAAGAGTTTCCTATTGCCAAAGTATATGGAAATATTCAGTTACAGAACAATGATTAAGTTTAAACTTTAATTTATTAAATAGCCATAGCCCACAACATACATTAACATTACGAATATTTATAGAATTAAAACAGAACTTAAAACTGGCCCATACCTACCACTGTTTAACTTCCATTTATTTAGGTAAACTTTTCTGCAGTTAATGTAAGTAGGGTTACATCCTTATTTGTTTAAAATAAAATGAAAGAATTTTAAAAAATCATCTGAACTGAGAGATACCCCACATCTTTTTAATATGCGTCTCACAGGTTGATAGATATAATTAAAGATATAAAAGCTTATTGGGCAAATATTCAGTCTGAAAAGGGAAGAACAGGAATGTGAGGCTATCTGTCCTCAATCACTGCTGAAGGCATAGTTTGCAGTTTTAAAACTGAATGCTTGCCAGGTTAAGTAGAAGGCTGTGTGAACTAAATAATTATCTCTTTAATGGTCCAGTTTTAGACTGCCGCATCGTGGTCAGAGTCTCTCATCAGCAGATACATGGACTGGCCCCAGTCAGGAAGCACACTTTTCCTATTAAGAAATCAGTGCTGTGAAAAGTACACAAAAAGTTTTAAAATTCTGTCTCATTGCAATTACAATTAGATAATATTGGGTTTGACAAGAACAGAAGTTGACACTTTACAACAGCTAACAGTCTTATCAATTCTCTCTCTCTCTTTTTTTTTTTGCATCTACAGACATCACATGTCCTTTTTTTCTTTTTTTTCATCCCTGTTAATTATTTTAACAAGTTTTACTGTCCTTTTCATCTCCGACCATGGAACAAATAAATGAAATCAAATAATTAAGGAATGATGCCTAATATTGTGAAGCTTATACAGTAATAGTGTGTGAAATTGATCAGTGCTTTGAATTATTATTATTAATATGTAAAACACATTTTTATTAATATGTAAAACACATTTTTTCACAAAATCATGCAGGCAAGCAACACTCCATCTGAATTAATTCTCAAGATAGACAGACAGCTGTTACATGAGAAAGAGAAAGAAAAATGTAAGTTTTTCAGAAAAATCACTTTATCAAAATGATTGGTGAAATAGAATATACTGATGTCACAAGATTCATATAATAACATTTTCTGCTTTAATTACTTCAGTCATATTTTCAGACTGTATTATTCAGTCTATTTTATATAACTTTTGTTTTAGGTGAAAATATTAGCAGTGATACTTCTATTGGATACAACAGTGAAATGGGCATGAGCTTGGCTACCTGGCAAACATGTGAAGAAAATAATGATGTCTCCATGCACGCTGACATTTCTGTGGATCCAGATGCCCACCAGTGGTTGGCTGCCAACTTCTCAGGTAGGCAGTCTTAAAAGGGAAAGGTAAACTGAGTTGATATTAATCATAACGTTACATTCCTTCAGCTAAGGAAACTGAGTTATGAAATGGTTGAGCTTTCTACCATCTTGTTTGGAGATAAAACAAAGGACATGACATCTTCATTCATTCATTCATCCCATGCTCAGAGGCTTGTATCAGCTCTTCTGCTTTGCCTTCCCTAGTGATTAGCCCTTTCACCTCTTCCCAGACAGGGGAACATATATGATATTATCATATTTCTTAAGTGCCTAAATTGTATTAACTTTAATATATGTACTAGAAGAGTATATGTCTGTATATGCATGCTGGTATATGTGTAACTTTTATTTCTGCATGTACTTTTCACTGATACAATAATATCCTCCAAAGTGAGATATACCCGGAGTAACTTTATTGGTTTTTAGGTACAGGACCAAGATGTTTTATTCTCCTGGGAATTTTAATCAGCGTGTTAATTTTTAACATGCTGATATTCAAAAACATTTTATTCAAGCTGCTACATTTATGGTTTTATGGTCTTTATCATCTATCTTTTTCTTATTATTTTATATTGTATATTTTAATTGCTCTAGAACAGCGGTTCTCAGCCTATGGGTCGCGACCCCATTTGGGGTCGAACAACCATTTTACGGGGGTCGCCAAACAACGCGATCCGCCATTTCCCCCCCTCAGGGGGCGCCGCCGCGCATGGGGGCGGTGCCGTCGCGCATGTGTGCCGCGCATGGGGGCGCCGCCGCGCATGTGCGCCGCTTCCGTGTGGCGGGGGTCACCGTCACACAAAGGTTGAGAACCGCTGCTCTAGAAGTTTGTATGGTTTTACTCCAGTATAACTATATGGGAAAACCTGGTTTCTTTTTTAAAAAAATGTTTTATACCATTATAAGATATGTATATGATTTCAATAAAGTGGTATTTATGCATTATTGATGGTATAAAAGTCTATCTTTAAAGATAGAAAAAAAGAAAGGTTTATATCTTTGTATTTTGGTTTCTAATTTACCCCTGTAAAAGTTTATATTGGCTGTGTTTTATAATATATTCTATCTATGATTCTATTCTATCTATCAAACTGCTGGCCCGCGGGCTGCATGCATCACGCCAAAACTGTGCCTACCCCATTGCTGGCAATGGAGAAAAAGTCACGATATGTCACGCAACGTCACATGACATCGCGAGTTTGACATGCCTGATCTATGGGAACCATTCTTGCTTAAATTTGGTTAAACTCATCAGAAGTAACATATATATCGTTAATATATAAGCAAGTATGGTTCCCATAGATAGAATATATTATACAACAATAACATGTATATTGTTAATTTTTCCATTCTTGCATATTCTCTGAGTTTAAGTTCCCAATCAGATATTGTTGGAATTCTGTTTTTCTTCTAGTATTGGATAACATTTAATTTTGTTTTCATAAGCATTAATATCAGTAAATTATGATGTTTTCTGGGATTATACCTAGTAAGAAAAATGTGATTTCCAAACTTCATTAGAAAAGGAACTATGGCACCAGTCGTAAATTAAGTTTATGAATATTCTGTCATCTCCAACTACTGTCTTTGCAGTTTCCTCACAAGGAGCAACTGTCCGGAGCACTTGTGAGTGATCTCCTGTCTTCTCCTTATTCAAAGAGCCGGTCTACTCACTGGCTGTTCATTCTTTAGTGTAGTCATCAGTTAATGCTTTTTGTGGAGCCATCTTCTGTCCACCACTTCTTCCTCCAAAGTCCCCAAAAGGATATTGTGAATGTTTCTTTCACATAAATAAAGTACCGTAAATGCCGGCGTACAAGGCGACCCGGCGTATAAGACGACCCCCGTCTTTATAGCCGGGCCACATTCCTAGAACATCATCTTATACGCCGGAAACTACCAGTATTTCCGGCGTATAAGACGACTCGGCGTATAAGACGACCCCCATCTTTGGCGCCGATTTCAGCGCTCACGGAAGTCGCCTTATACGCCGGCATTTACGGTATGTTCATTTTATCATGCAGTATTTTTGTTTCTTCTGTCTCTCTGTTTCAAAAAATAAAGTTTTTTAAATAAATAAAATTTGATATCTTTTTCTCTTTTTTTACATATGTTAAAAATGCTAATGCAAACTATTCTTTCTCTAGACAGCAGTGAATTCCTTGCCGATGATTGTAGCATAATTGCTGGTGGCAGTCTTACTGGATGGCAACCTGACTCTGCAATGGTATTATGGAGAAGAACGTTAGGAATTCTTGGAGATGTGAACAATATCCGGTCTCCTAAAATACATGCCAGAGTTGTTGAATATCTCTTTGAGTTATGGCACAAATTAGCAAAGGTAAGGTTGAATGTTATGATGAATTTACTGTGATGTAAGCAGCTAAAATAAACATTGTATAATATATTCAAATCAAATGAAATTTTCAATATTTAAAAATATCCTTACTAACCCAATTTATTAAGACTTCAGCAGTTGATTAGTCTGCTGGAATTGTGCACCCAAAATCCACAAAAGTACCCCCATTTTTTGCCCTACACATGCTAAAAAACAGATGCTAACTTGATAGATATGGTCCCTAAGCCAAACATTTCGGACCCCAGCGAATGTGATGATGCAATTAGCAAACAAAATGTTGCTGAAGAATTATGGTCTCCAGTGGGAGACATTTGCTGAACAAATAAACTGGACTAAATAAGGAATAAATGAACTAAAATCCAGCAATATCTAGAAAGTGATGGATTCTCAATCATTCCACTAATGTGCTTAGGACAGTTTTAATGTATTTTTCTTTGTGGCAAACTAATGAATTTTTCCATAGAAAATGGAGAAGATTGCAAACAACTGCTCCAGTTTCATAACCCTGTTCATCACAGAATAATGATGAAAAAAGGCAATAGGAGAAATACATATCTAGTATTTCATTGATTTCCTATAAAATGAAGAAAAGAAAGAACATGTATAGACCATCTCATATCTTGGTCTCATCAGCTAAATTTATTCAAATCAACTAGAAAATAACTTTGAGATTCAATATTTTGCATGTAAATATTTAAGAACAATGCAACTAATATTATAAGGCTGATGAAATTTAAAACACATTGTTTCCTGTTTATTTGTTTTAGATAAGAGACAACCTGGCAATAAGTCTGGATAACCAGACTACTCCTTCCCCTCCTGTTTTAATTCCACCACTTGGAATATTTGCATCATGGTTGTTCAAGGTAAGTTGTTCATTTAAATGCAAACAGTTTATGGATGGATTTGGAACAGAGGAAAAGTTTTTTATTGCCAAACAAGATGCCCTACTTGGAATTTTCCCTCAGGGTATTTTTAGTGTCTTGTGTTCCAGGTGAATAAAGTCAGAAACATTTTGAATATTTCACAAGAAGTGTGCATGACACAGAAAATGTGTTTCTGTTTTAAATCGTATCCTAATAAGATACCACTCTTGACATATTGAAGATCCATGTTCCAAATAGAAAACTGAAATTTTTTTGAATCTTCCAGTCACATAATATAATGAGAACTTGAAAGAACTGTTGGGTTGTTGATTCACTCTAGTTGGGGTGATATTGTATGCTGACTGCTACCTACCATGCAATCTAAAAAAAAAAGTGAAGGGGATATTTTGTTAAAATAGTGAAAATAATTAAAAATTATCTTAATGGAAGCAGCAGTTGTAATATATCTTTTTTTTTAAAAAAAGTGGTCTACTTACCACAAATCCAGAAACCAATCTATTTGTATTAGGTATCATTTGAAAAAATAAAAACTTCAATTATTTCATTAGTTATGCTAGTTCCAATGAAAATATATCACTAAGTACTCTGTACTCAAAACAAAAGTTAACAAAGCTAACATAGTAAGTATAGGTAGTCCTCGAGTTATGACCACAGTTGAGCCCAAAATTTCTGTTGCTAAGCAAGACATTTGTTAACTGAATTTTGCCCCATTTTATGATCTTTCTTGCCACAATTGTTAAGTGGATCACTGCAGTTGTTAAGTTAGTAACTTGGTTGTTAAGTGAATCTGGCTTCCCCATTGACTTTGTCAGAAGGTCACAAAAGGGGATCACAGGACCCCGGGACACTGTGACCGTCATAAATATGAACCAGTTGCCAAGCATCTGAATCTGATCACGTGACCATGGGGATGCTGGAAAGGTCGTAAGTGTGAAACACGGCCATAAGTCACTTTTTTCAGTGCTGTTGTAACTTCAAACAGTCATTAAGTGAACTGTTGTAAGTCGAGGTCTACATGAAAGTTGAGGACTACCTTACTGCATACATGTAACTTTGTTCTTACTATGTGTAGCCTAAGGTTAGTTATCCAGAATAACCTATATGGAAACAGTGTAGCATGTTCTGTGGGGTATGACCTCAGAGGCAATGGGTCCTTCTTATCCAGGCAAGTCAATGACTGAGGCTTAGCCATTGCCCTGTATGAATGGTAATGGGCCACAGCTGGGTAGGAATTGTGGAGACTTGAACAGATTTGCTGAAACCTGCTTGTTGAGAAGGAATATATAAAACCTGTATTCATATTTTGCATTACTGGAGGCTTGCACTAGATTTAAAAACTTGTCCATTTGTGGATTAACAATTGAAGATTTTTTTTCTCACGAGTGTTTAACAAAATGTTTCTGACTATCATCAAATATAGAATCAAAACCACCCTGGTGAGGATATTTACATATTTTAATATATAATGGTCTGGTTATTTCAGAGTTCACAAATGATTTAACAAAATATTTTTTTTTAGGCTACAACTTTACCAGATGAATATAAAGAAGGAAAGATCCATGCCTACAAACTGATATGTGCTATGATGATAAGACGACAAGATTTTATGCCAAATCCTGACTACCTGGTGCATTTTTATCTTATCATGCACATTGGCTTAACTAGTAAAGACCAGGTATTAATGAGATAGTTCTGATTTTAAAACTGAATTGCACTTATTAATACAATTTGCATAATTTGGACCATGAGAATTTTTGTAAATGAAAGGAAATTCTGGAGTGGATTGAAATGAGGTTAAGGGGAAGAAAGAAGGGAGAAAAAATGAATACCTTTTCTTCCAATATAGGATACAGCTTTTAATAGAAGGGATTTCAACCTCAAACCATTTTTATTTCATTTCTTACTGAAAACTGGTTGTTCTAGATATTCCTATTATAAAGGGTTTTTAGCTACTTTTCTAGCAACAGCAGTGCTTCTACAATCCTACTTTGCCTGGATAAGCCAAAGTGGGTATCCACAGGCAATGAAGAAACACAAAGCTTATAGTTTTATGAGATGGTTAAACCCATAGGTCTAGCCATTTGTCAGAACTATCTAACAATCACAGAAGTTTCGGGTTTACCTATTAATGTATTACCGTATATGCCGGCGTATAAGACAACTTCCGGAAGCGCTAAACTCGGTGCCAAAGACGGGGGTCGTCTTATACGTCGGAAATACTGGTAGTTTCCGGCGTATAAGACGACGTTCTAGGAAGGCGACTTGGCGATAAAGACGGCATATACGGTATATATTATTTGTTTGATTTTATTCATGAGACAATTGCCAAACTCATTTATTTTTTTTAGATTACAATTTTAGCATAGACGAATATAAAGAAAGAAAGATTTAGGGGGCTTGTAGTATTGCAAACTTTAAGAAAGCCTATCTTAGACTGTAGAGGTGTTTAAAGCATCTGATTGAATTTTTCTGGATGACTTTCAGGTTTTAAGGCCTAAATATGTGAACTAGATACTTGACACTGCTCAACAAAGACCTGTCCAGTTATTCTTTACCCCTTACCCCTTATTCATAAATTCTGCTTTATTCAGATATACAGTAAGATATCTGAATATATCAGGTATATTATACAGCCAAATATCTCTGTGCATTAGAACCAATTGTAATTTGTGGTGTTGGTAACTTTTCCCGGGTTTTTTCCTGGGAGCACCACAATGGGCCCTAATGCGTTTTTTGTTATGCTTCCATAACAAAACTTCCATTCAGAGTGGTTAATTTCAAGGCTTTGCACTTTCAGTTAACCAGTTAATCAATCCATTAAAAAAAAATTACAGTCTTCCAGGCATGCAAAAGAGGGCAAAGGCTATATGAAAAGATCAGGAAAAGGGATCAACACATAGGAAACAAGCAGTATCAATTGGAGCCATCCAGCAAAATGCATCATTTTAGACTGCCTTCCCTAATGTACATCAGCACACCCTATATTGCTTGCATACATCTTAAAGCAGGATTTTAGGGAAAACGGCATTTCCAGGCTGTAGCACCTTTAGCTCCCCTGTAGACGAACATTGAATTACAGCTAGAGGCAAGTGGACATGTGCTTGGGAAATAACTAGTAGGCTGTCCTTGCATCAGAGCAAGATGCGGATTTGGGCTAGGTAAAGTATTGTAGCTTTCTTGGAAATGAGGGGGGAGGGGAAGTAAAAAAACTGGAATTGAAACCAATTATTGCTAATTTATGTAATCCTCCTCAGTGTATTATATGTAATGTAATCTTTAGTAAGCATAGAATGCTCAGCTGGGGCTGGGAGTTATAAATTTGGTCTTACAAAGAATGATCTTAGAGCTTCATTATAAAAGGCCTCACAAAAGCATTCCTAAAAAAAAGGGATCCTGAAGATCTGAAGAAGTATAAGTAGGATGGATTTGATTTAAATCAAATTGATTTAATTCATAATTTAATTCAGTAGTCAGGGAGAGCCAATCTAATGTTTAAATCATTTCACTTACCAAGAATATTTTACAATAATCATTTCTAGTAAAAGTGCTTTTTTGATACAGTATGAATACAGTTTTTTTTCTGGGAGGTATGTGTTAATTTTAGAATCTTCTTAATTTAATACATTTTTGTCAGATTTGTAAAAAATTATTTTATGACAAATGAAATTAGAATATTAGTAGCAAATTAGCAGCTGTGTAGTTGTGAAGATATTAGGAGATGAACCAGCTCCAGTTGAATTATTTGTGGGTATTTGAGGGATACATTTGCCATGTTATAATAGCATAACCACTACCTGCTTTTAAATTGGCTTGTTCTGACTAATTTTCTTCAGCAAACAATAAAAATAGATTATTACTTAAAATGTGCACTTTGGATTTAAAGTACATTTTGTTAAAAAATAAAGAATAGGCAGTTTCAACCAAGTCAGCACAAGGCATTGAAAACTTTGGTAAATGGTGAATAAAGTGTTCATCTGTGCCTCCTTTTTTTCAAAGTCTGGCAAAAGAAAGACAAATTGTCTTGCTTTTTCAGTTCCCAAATTGCTTTGCAGTTTTCAGTGAATTATTCCAGAGGAAGAGAACACACTTTGCAAATCAACAAAACTAATTGCTGCTATTACAATTTGGATTACCCCTTCAATGACTTCTGAATCCAAATGTTTAAATTTATTACTTAGACTTCCTTTGTTGACAATGGATTGGATCAATCTTAACCCCATCTATGGATTGGATCAATCTTAACCCCATTTGGTCTAATAGTTAAGGCACCAGACTAGAAACCAAGAGATTGTAAATTCTAGCCCCACCTTAGGCATGAAAAATCGGCTAGATGATTTTGGGCAAGTCACTCTCTTTCAACCCAACCCAGTCAATCCCCTAGGGCAGGGGTTCTCAACCTTGGCAACTTTAAGACTTGTGGACTTCAACTCCCAGAATTCCTCAACCAGGTCCACAAATCTTAAAGTTGCCAAGGTTGAGAACCCCTGCCCTAGGGGAAACTGGTATCAGTTGTTTTAATAAGAAAGCTATCTGTTATATAAGAACATACATGGAACTGTAAATATTGCTCTATTCATCAAGACTCAGAGCTACAAATTTTCCTCTATGGATTATTCATACATCTCTCACTTTCTTCTTCACACACTATATCCAACACTTCATTTATATTTATATTATGCTGCCTTCCCTCCAGGTGTTCAAGGTTGCATACACTGCACTTTTTCCAAATTTTCTACCACACTTCTATGTGACAGATTCGGCTGAGGCAAAGTAATTGTTCCAAATCTTTCAGGGACTTCACTGAACATGGCTTTTCTCTGTTCTAGCCCAACAAGTTATCATGTATACTGTCTCTGAAGTTTTCCTTGCAATAACAGTCCTATTGGGTAGACCAAATCCTGGGTAAGGAATTGTACATTGTTCATAAAATATACCTTCCAATCATGCAGAAAGGGACTTGACACATAAACAAACCAAACTTTAAAAAAAAACATATCTCTATTTCTATACAGTCTAATTGGTTTCTATTACAGAGTTGTCTAGTTCTGTGTGATAAGTCTTTCTTGGAATTTTTTTTTATCTGCATGCTTGGTATATATGGTACAGTTGGGTTTTTTTACTTATACGATATGGATTACTCTGAAATGGTAGCCACTAATGATGCTAAATATAGTGTAGATTGACATCGTGCATTTTGAAGATCTTCCTAAATAGAAGCAATCAGCTCAGTTAGCATATTGACTTTTTGTTTAGTATGACTGAATGCATGCAATGATAAAAATTACTACTAAAAGGAATATTTGTATTTTATTATAAAATTATTATTAAACATAAGATATACATTATTGATTAGTCAATTAGAATTGACCATATCAAGCATCAGCATCAGCCACAATAAAACACAATAAAATAAGATAAGATAGTGAACTGAAGTGAGATAAAATAGCTATAGTGAGATAAAATAAAATAAAATATAGTAGGTGAGATAAAGTGTAGATAAAAAGTATGATAAAATAGTATAAGGTAAAATAGAAAAAGAAGAGAACTTTATTAAGTTGATTGACTGTGTCAGGTATTAAATATAATAACTGTACTTTTGTTCAAAGATAAAACTTCTAAGTTCAGCTATTAACATGGCTTCCGTTTCCAAATAAATTTATGTAGCTTATAAGCATGCAAAATACATAATGCAATCAAACACATGCTAGCAAAGTGTTTTATTGTATCTTAAACCACGCATAACCAGAATAAAAAGTTAAATCAGTATTTCTAAACTTTCTGATAAGCAACATAAAATTAATTCTCTTTTATTCCTCTTGGTGGCAGACTTAGCTTCAGATTTTTCAGTAAGCGAAACATGCAATTCTGAGACAGAATTGCTTTTGTGATCCTTCATGTATTAGTTTCCATTCTGAATACACTGTGTTTTATCTAAATCTGAACAAAGCTAATGAGACTTTTAGGACTATATTTGTAAATGTTCTGGAAAGTTACAATATGTTTACCCATAACATATAGTTCTTTTAAGGGTTCGATAAAAGCAGGGGAATATAAGTTGCAAACATTTCACAATAATTAAAGGGTCTTTTCAACATATGCTCTGATGACATTTTGAATCAGCGCACATGAATTACATCTGATTCAAAATTTAAAAAATGCTTTAGATAATTCCTATGTATTATATTTGTGAGAGGTCACATGTTGAACCTAATCAATTTAGGAAGTATTGCTTTTTATGCTAAATCAACTTTATTTCCCCTTACCAAGAACATCATGTAGAAAAGGGCAGATGATGATTCATACTAAAATGCAAGCATTCATTTTCCAGCCCTTTCTTGGGTAGGATTAATAATCAGAATCAGCAGATTGGAGATATGACAGCTATATATAAGCATAAACAGTAAAGCATTGTTGGTAATAAGGCTTTTGTTGGAAATATTTAGATTCCTAAAGCACTACAGGCCTGAAATCAAAACATTCACTATACTCCACGCAAAGCAAATTTCTGCATGCTTAAATGCTGTTTGCTTTGCAGAGGAGAAATGTATCTTCTCACTGAGTAAATATATGTCGGAGTAAAGTATTTGCAGAGGACCTGCAGTGGCAACCCTCCTTCAGGTATAAATGCAGATCTGTTTCTCAAATTCCTGCGTTTTACATAGGGTTGCCACCATG